ATCCTTTGTCCCTCCCCTCCACAAAAGCTTGGCCATGATGACAAATCGACGAACTCTGTTATTGTTGCAACGCCGTCAATTCTGTAAAGCAAACCAAATTCCGTAATCATAATTTTTTTAGACCATTTGTAAATAAATAGTAAGATATTGTCAAACACAAAGAAAATCAAATCGTTTGTTGTCAAGTTTATGTTTTACATCGCCAGACTTGTCTTCTTTCTTGTCGACAATGTCTCGTCTAAGTTCGTCAAATCTGTCCTCAAGGTGTCTTCTCGATTATTTGATTTAATATTATCATAGTTGTGTTCTTACGGCCTTGGCGTATTCGGAAATTTGAAGGTACACTCCAGCTGACTGCCAACGTTTGTCCAGTTTTTAGCATTCGTCGTCAAAGCATCAGCATCCAGTAGCCCAAAACCGAAATAATCATTATCTGTAAATAAAAACAATATCAACATAAGTATACGAAAATCTCAGTAAATATCCTTCAATTCCTGAAAATAATGATGAAGATATTTTAGTAACATATCTGAAAGTAAAGCAAACGTCACGATACGTCACCAAAAACCTTTGACCTTATCAGCTTAGGCCTAAGGGCCTATTTAATTTTCCTCAATTTTTGCAACGACATTTATGCTATACGTAATCTACAACTGTAAAAAAACGATGAAAAAGCAGAAAACCATTTCCTCAACCATTGGAAACCTTCAATAAGAAAAAAAATAAATAGGGGTTCGGGCTTGGTGCTCTTAAGTTATTTATTTCTATTTTCTTCCTTGTGGACCTTAATACCACAATCTTTGCCGCACTTTGTTTTAGTAAATGTGGCATTAATTAATACTTACATCGAATTCCGACTTTGTTTGTTTTCCACTGAACTGAAGAAAACTTGGAACAAGAGCTTCTAGCAATCAAGTGCTGTACGTCTCTCCAAACAAGATTAGGACTAATAAAAAAATTGACACTCATTGCAAATGAAAGCTTTAATGGGACTTTATTTATTCTCGATGTCAGATACGATTGAAAGTTTTGTTGTGTTGCAAGCACATAAAATCACTTTTAAAATTGGTAGCTTTTTAATTGCTAGCAAAGAATGCAAATGATATAGATGTTATCTCGCTTTTCGATCAACGATTCCGTTAAAAATCTTTCACAATGTTTTATTTTTACAGTCAATATAGTCTTCTTTGAAAATGCTGACCATGACACTGCTTGGTCATCAAAGGCGAAGGATAATTTTTTCTAATGATCTCTAGCTTTTACACCTGGGCATTTCTCATTTGTATGAACAAAATTCTTTAAATACAAGTGAATACGAGGTAAGTCTAAACAATGCTTCAAACAAAAGTGAACAAAATTTCTTTTGTCTGATTTATTTGATGTCTGATTTAAAGAATTCAAAAAGCACTGCGAAGAACAAAATCATTGCAGAAAATTTATAAAAATATAGCACATTCTAGTTGACTAAAGTCGAGAAATTAGCTCTTTAAAGATAAACGCAATTTTTTGAAAATCAAATTTTAAGACAATTCAGCCAATGGCCATTACTGAAATATTCCTCAGAATTGCAGAGACCGATAGCAACATAACATCAAAGTGTATTATCTAAGATTAAATGTAAAGATTAGATACAAAGTTTCGAGACAAGATTAAGCCATAAAAGTTAAAGTCAAAGCTTAGAGACAAAATTTAGAAAAAAATTGGAGACAAGGTAGACAAAGATATCATGTCGCATACTTAGCCTCAAGAACCAATGCCATTATTCCTGCTGCAACTGCTGTAGCTCCAGATGATGCCCCGGTATTCTCTAAGCATCTGTTCTTCAATGCACAAGATGGCTAAAAAATATTTCACATGAGAATATGCTTTCAAAATTACAGCATTTGTTTAAATGATAGTAAAATTGGTGTAGCAGATTTAATTTTCAATTAAGGATCCCCTATAAATAAGAAAGTTATACAGTAGCAAAGTGATGATGTCACAAAATGTATTTCAGTAATTGTTGACTTATGAGCAAATGAGCAAAAACCAGTGGCGAATCCAAAGCTGAGCAGGACCAAGAACTTCCAAAGATAAGATTTACTATAAACAATAAAAGTTTCTTCTTTGCTAAAAGGAAGTTTCAAATTCTAATCGATAAACAGTCCCCAGTTCTGCCAGCTGATACAGGCATCCCGTGCTAATCTCAAGGTCCTGTTCTTTACTACGGCAACCCTCTATTTTGTCCTGCTCATAACTATGATATCCTATGTTTGGTTCTGCTTGACAAAGGGCTTTTGTAAATTTAGTCCTGCTTCACAATAGTCTGGAACAAAGAGCAGTCCTGCTCAATCTCGGGAGCAGGACCTCGTCGAAATGACCATCATAACATGTCATAAGCAGTAGTGATTTGATTGGTTGAGGGTTCACCTACGTAGACCAAAACGAGCCAAAAGGCCAAAGAGCATTGTTTAGAAAACTTTTGGTCCTGCTATTTTTGCGAGCAGGACTGTGAGGATTGCACTGTGCATTCTCGTTCTGTTTACGAGACGCTGAGACGAGAGTATTAGCTATTAGCAAGGAGGCCAGTTCAAGTATTTTGGGGAGGCGATGTGAACAGTGAATGTGGGTTTTCTGCTTGCTTGGGCGATACCAATGTTATTGTTATTGACAACAAAACTTGCCTCAGTTGAACTGCATAACTTTTATTTGTAACAAGATAGAGTCTAAAGTTCGCGAGAAAGAAATGGTAAACAACAAGGATTGGCCTTTGGCTTCGGTCTTTGCGAGGCACGGTGTTTCATGTTATGGTGGACTAGATACGTAAGATTTTCTTAGACCTTAACAAGGACGATGAAAGCATAATTCACAATGCAAGTTTTAATAATGCAAAATTTTATTTGCAGATTCTTACCATGCGATCATCAGGGTACTTTAATCCTAATGATGTATCTCTTGCATACGTAACAGCATGAATGGCAGAACATGGCTCATCTTGCCGTGATTTTATGTTCTTCCCTGTTACAACACTTATGCCAATCGTGTAAATGGATGTTAAAAATTCATTGAAAGCACAGCTTCCATTAAATGGTCCTCCATTACCAGCAGAGAACAAGTAAATACTACCTTTACCATCTCGACCCTATGAAAAATATTCTTTATTAAAAAAAATTATTCAGAAACTTTGAAAACATGAAATGGATTGCAGAACAACACACCATGCGGAACAAATCGCATGGGGCTGGAGAATTTGGACAAAGTACCCTCAGACAAAAAATGATAGTTTATGACATATATATATTTATAAAAATATGTCTTTTTTCTTTATCTATAGTAGAGTTTGTTTGAAAATTCTTACCACACAATCATGTGGCTACTGTAATTCTCATGTTAAGAGTCGATGTATAAGATATTTACCCAAAGAACCAAAATCGATATAAATATTAGTAAACAAATCCAGCCAAAAATGAACAGTTCTAAATTTTCACTAAACAGAAAACACCCATATTTGTCATTCAAAGCCCATAAGGGCTGGTAAACTCCATAATGATCACATTGCCATTACTTGATCACTTGATGTTATCAAGTGGAAACATTTTCCAAAATATTTACTTATGAAAGACTTTATTTAAATTCAGGGCTGTTATTTTCTGAACCCTTGAACATTTTAGAATCAAATTTTTTTAACCACTTTATAACCAAACCTATTCCTAGCAATAAAGAACTCGAGCAAAACTGTGAACTGTTGGTTTACATTTTATAAAATCTGCATAAATGTTTTATGTCTCATATTTAGGCAAAATTCTTGTCGCATTGTCTCTTACAAAGATTAGCATCTTTCTAGCCTGCAAGTTTTTTCTAAAGTTTTCAACAATTTGAGCCTCGTGCTCCTATCATGCATCTTTTCTATAGTATATAATGCCAAAAATTAATTTTAGATGGGAATATCAATAGTTGAGGAAATCACAAGCTCTTTATCTCTATAAAAAGAGGTTCTATATCAATAACATACCCTAGAAAAATGTTACCTTTTCGGTGGCATTCTTCATTGCAGCTTCAATAAGTTCTGACATGTAACCAATATTGTCAGAAAACATTGAAATTGTTCCCCAAGAGCAAGAATAAATATCATTAATGTGATGGGCATATTGCATGACGTGTGCAAATCTTTCATTCTCTGTTTTATTTTCTTCCGCCCAATTTTCATTCATTGGTGCCAAAAGATCACCCATGCCAAGCTTGATACCTGGAAAAGATTTTAGCGGAATGGTGTAGAGACAAAATGTTATTTCAAAAAATATCATGAAAACATAAGTATAATTGTCACCTATTAACATTCAATGATGCATGCCTTTCATATAAATTCAAAGCATATGATTTGTATTTGATTTTTTACTTTTTTTCATTTTGGTTAAAAGAATTCATCTATCATATTGAACAATATAGGTATTTAAGTTAAGTTGAAGAAGATTTCCAGAAGGAAGCTGAGAAATGTTGTGATGTAATAAAAACTAATCATGTGCTTCGTGAGACTTTCCATTTACAAGATCAGCCGAATTCATTAAAATTTGATATTGCTGCATCATAACTTCCCTAGCAAATGACCTATCTTTTTCCCAAGCCCACAGTTGGCTTGCTCTAACAGCAAAGTTTGAACAACAACCTCTCCCCTTTCTTCCTCACTCTCTCTTTCCCCCTTTCCCTCTCCGTCAATCGTCCCATATATGCCACACCACTGAACATAAAAATCTTAATTGTTCTGGATGCCTGCATCAACAAAAACATCTTACCAAACATTACAGCTTAGAGGTTGAGTGAAAACATTGAATTTCTTCAATGACCACACCTTAAGTCATAAGGTCATACAAGGACTTGACTTTTTCCATTGACATTAAATAAATCTGCAATACGCATATTCCAGGACATTTTTGGCTTACATTACACACTTACAAATTGCAATAACGTGAAGAATTGTAAGTGTAAATTATTGCTTTGCTTTAAATGAGTTTTGAAGATAATTGCCAAACATCAGTGAAGATATCGTATTAAATTGGGCCTACCTGAAAATTTTGCATCAAATGCCACTCCTACAATACATTTACCATTATTAGCTTTAGCAAGAGCTAGGCCGGCCATTGATGTTCCATGTGCATAAAGTCCGCTAAAATGTGATAAAAATTTTAATGAAATAGAAGAAACATGTCATGTAGAAAAGAAAAACAAAATTAAGTTCATTTGGGATACCACATGTCGTATAATAGAATATAACTGCCAAATATCAAGACACTTACTTATATATAGCAGTTTTATCAGGTGAGATGTCAGCGGTGTTTGTAGCATAGTCAAAACTGCCTTCAGGTATCTACAACATAGTAGTTTGTGATTATATTTTTTCAATACCCGATAAGGTTGATAAATATAAAAATTAAAAAAGGTTTGTGTTGTAGTGCTGTCGTCATATTTCTATTACCATGTGAATGTTTGTTCAGTGCCTGGTTATGAGAATAAAGATAAGCATAGCCAGGCTTCTTTTTTCTGCTGTTTTCTGTTTTTTAGTGTGATATACATCATAACACATACAGAAGAACAGATACATGATTCCAATATGGTACAACATAGACAACCAGGTGTTGCCAAACTTTCTGTAAAAGTTGAATTTTTGCTTATCGAGCCTGAAATTTTCACTAGAATAAGAGTACCGCAAGATATAAAATTAGGAACACAAATTAAAAAATCAGGGTTTCATAAGAACATATATTTCAAATGAATTTGCAGACATTTAGAGAATTCTTGATTATCCTTGTATCTTATTTACCTAAATAAAACACACATCCTAAAAAGTCATAGCGATGTTGACAGCATTTATAACTGAACTCAGCAGCCCAGGGCTTCGGCAAACCAATAGATCTAGCCTGAAGGGGCAAGAGGGAGCATAACCACCTGATGAGAGACTTTACAAGCCCAAACTTTTCTAGACCAATTTCTAGAGTAGAATTCAAATCTGGATGTTGATCAGGCAGGAGAGGAGACTTTTCTGAGATACAGAGGTTTTTGTCTAAAAGCAGGGATGCAGCCTTTGAATGAGCTGTAAAATGACCAGCCAAAGAGAAACTTACCAAACCAACTTATGCTAGACTTGTTTTTCTTGTAGAATTCAACACTTGTTGTGGATTGGGTGGGAGAGAATGCTTCTTTGAAATACAAGGGGTTTTGTGCAAAAACTGGGATGCAACCTGTGAATGAGCTAACAATGGTCACCAAACAATTTTTCTAGACCAATAAATGTTAATCTGGTGGAGGAGGACACTTTTCCGAGATATGGAGGGCTTTGTAGAAAAACTGGAATAAAGTTGCTGAATGTCCTATAAAAAGATCAAGTTGTGATTCTCATGCATGTTTAGCAAAAATAACATCTCTAGTGTATCTGCACTGGAACTCTTGACTTATCGAGAGGGATGAAATTAGGGTCATATGGTTTTGGTGAATCGGTTTGGAAAAAGGAATTATTAGTGAATCAGTTTGGTCTGTGAGTTATCTCTACAACATTCAAACCTGAAACTATAACAGATTTACATTAGCTTCTATTGTCCAGATAATAATTTCAATATTATAAGCTTTCATGTCATGTCTTTTCCTTAATCCCAAATAATGTGACAAAATTAATAAAACCTTGATATGGTGCAACTTGTCAAGCTCTTCATAAAAAATTTGGCTAATATGTTACCAAGCATATTGTACAGTAGACTTTGTTTATAGTCACACCAAAATATTGCTGGTAGAGTTGTCAAGTGACTGTTAGCAGAGTGTGACTATAAAAAAAGATGAATTTAACAGTTTTGGATATTTTGTGTCAAATTTTGTGTGACTGTAACAGGCAGTGTGACTTTAAGTGGAATGAATTAAACAGGAGTCTATTGTGATCATGTTTTCAGTTGTAATCATATTTCTAGTTTTTATTACAAAACCTGTGTATGTGACTTGTAGCAGAAGGCTAGAGATCTTGTCAAACCCTTTGTGTTTTTAACCATGATTTACATCAATATTTGACTATCACAACCAGAAACATGCATCCCTGGGGCTATGCAGTTACATTGTAGACTTTTCTGCTTCCTGCTACCCATCAGATTTGTGAAAGCTTGCAGGACATATATCTTTGCCTCAGTTACGTAAAAAATTATGCAGTTATGTCCAAACAAATGGCTTCAAACAATTTGTTTTTCAGTTGTCATCAAATACATAGAAATCTGGAGTCTAAGATCATTACAAAACTACCCAAGTATTATGAGATGAAACAAGGATAGTGCTCTAACATTTCCAAGCACATTGAGTTTTTTCAATTTACAATAGCTTTAAAATTAACAAAGTGAAAACATATTCAAAAAGAAAAATGCAGGGGAAGAGCTTCATAATGCATACAGTGAAGTGAACTCTCTAATATAAATTTTTGATACCCCAAAATTTGAAGATGGTTTGAAATAGCAGAAACTGGTTACAGTGAACTCTGGTCATAGTCTCATCAAATTTTGCTTGAAAATGTTTGACTGTAGACAAAGTGTGATTTGTAAACAGAGCTCTATTGAATACTTTTGCACATAACTGGTAGTGTTACTTTGAATAAAGCAAAGAGTGGAGTTTACTGTGGTTACAAATAGCTATGAAATACAAGGAAAAAACAGCTTATTTTAATTTTTCTTACGAATTTAGAAGCTAGATCATCATGATTTGTAGCAACACCAGCTGGATCACTTATGCATATGGTGATTCCTTTTCCAGTCAGTCCCTTGTTCCATGCTTTGTGTATATTCATAGTTACCCCATATTTTTCATTCTAGGAGTCATTATAATGATAATCATTACAAAAAAATATTATGCAGTTTAACTGTCATTGATTATTTAGAAACAATAATACTTTCATTTGAAAACCTTCAAACAGGGTGCTTTCTTGAAAAATTCTTTAATCCAAATTCTATTATTATAAATTGCATGCTTTTGAAGAAAGTATTAAACTGAATTCTTGTGAAGTATCACAGACTAACACCTTTTTAAAAATGGGTCACTTTATGCTAAAATCTCAATGATTTATATTCCTTAATTTCTGATATCACAATCATTTAAAAGTATTGGTAGGAAATAATAACGTTAAGGTAAAACTTACCAAATGAAACTGTAGTGAGTAAAGTGGATCATTAAAGCTTGGAGGAGGAATTTTAGCCTGGAAAATGAATAAAATTAGCTATTGCCTCAGGGCTCAAAGTATCTGGAAGCAAATAACAGCAATGCATTAAAGGGAAAGAAGGAGTCCCCAAAAAGCATTGTAGACAGGCATTGTATCATTTATGCAAAACAGGCCTTGATAGATTTGCATTTCATGGCATTTCTACCTCTTGAACGAATTCTCCCAAACTACTTAGATAGCCTCTGCGGAAAATGTATGCCTCACAAAACACCACTGAGGAAATTTTATTGGTTTAGCTCTAGCTTGATAATTTGGAAAATTAACAACAAGATTAGTGTAGTTTCTTGAAGATGCTTTTGATATGTCTTGATGACCTTTTTTAACATACTAACTTCGGTAATGGAAAATGCCCCTTTATCCCCAGTGTGACCTTCCATTGCTTTTTTGGCTGGTAATGTTTGCCAAATGCCTAGAATACTATAGCAAAGCCCTTACAATAGAAAGGAAAGCGGTGCTTGGAAGTGAGGGAGAAGAGATAAATGTTGTTGAGTTTTGTTTTGAAGAAAGACAGGTGATGAGAGTCTTGCAATGGGAGCAGAAAGTGGATAGATTGTGATTGTGTCAAGGTTCACACGATATGGGAAGGTAGTTGTGGGCTAGAGTTCTTGAGTTTGCAAAGAGACTTGGGAAGAATGAGAGACGTGGAAGAGTATCTTGTATTAGGCACATGCCTCGGAGGAACTGGGATCATATCTCTGTTCTCTTGAGAGAAATGTTCTTGGAAAAAATTTATAATACAACTTATTTCTCTTCAAAAAGGCTATATGGAAAATGTTAAGTAAATTTGAAATTATTGAGTCGCGGGGCAGATCTCAGACTTAGCAACCAAAACATGAATTTACAGGGCAACGTAACGTAGACAATTGCAAAAATTGCATTTCATCTCAACAATTGTGTCCGGTGTAGGGCCCTGGCATTGGCCAAGCAATTAAAAAGCTGCACCAAAGGTTTTACACATAACCTAGAAAGGACACCAAGTAGTCAATAGGTCTACGTAATATAAAATATTTCAGAGGCAGCAATTCCTTTCATCCTGCTTACATAGACTATGTTTGTTTCGGGTATCACTGGACGACTTTTGAAAACTTCCAACGCTAAAAAGTAAACAGAGCAGGTTTCGTTTCCATTTAGTGTTAGGCCATCGATATCAATGTTGAGGAATCTAAGGAAAAACTCCTCAAAAATATTTCCTTATATTTTACTTACTATCCTAACATTGATTATCCCTTAAAGAACAAATCAACCGTTGTATATTCATTAGCAAATCTCTCTTTATTCAAAAGGAAACAAGGAAATATCAATCGCTCTTGTGAATTCTGCCCTCTTTCAAACGAGTAGAAGGGGTCAAAGGTGACATGCTACAGGGCAAATTCTTGAGCGAAAAATCAGGAATTTCGAAAACAGTATTGTAAAATTATTTTGAGAAACTGATGCTTACCGAGAAAACATTATTCCATCGGCAAATAACAGCGAGGAAGAAGGCAACTTTCATGCTGAATGTGTTAGGCATATCCTCCTCCGCAGATTTTGCATCTAGTCTTGCTTGCTCGACAAAATCTATAGCCTCTTTGGGCATATCGCGCATTATTTGACCTTCGTCTGCCTTATCATTTCGATTGGATTTTCATGGTTCCTGACCTAGTTGAGTTGAGCAGGAAAGCTTTGAAAGCCTTCCCTCCTGTTCAAATTTGGTCGTCCGGAAAGTTGGATGCGAACGCAGTCGTGACTAGAGGGGCACAACCACACCACGTAGCTGTAGATGTCGGCTAGGGGGGCAAACTCGAGCAAGAACCACACCTGAGGGGGCCAGGCTTTACAACAAGAAAACAGATATATAACGAACAGATATATTCGGACTAAATCAAGGCCATGCAATTATAAATATGCCATGCAATTATAAGTATCATTTGGAAAAACTGTAGCCAGAGGGGGCAAGTTGTTGTCAAAATTTTCATTTAGGGGGAACAGCCCCCCCCCGTGCCCCCTGTAGCTACGTGGCTGGAGAGGCAGGAGGCATCCCCCAAACTTCGACCATTAGGAAATTATACGGAAGTATCGTATCTACACTTTTTTAAATGAACCAGTAGATTAAAGTTCAGGCTGGCTGTTCTTAAACTTTTTGTAAATGATGAGGCTGGAATGTTCTTAATTTGTCTGTAATTTGTCTGTCTGCAATAAAGCACCCCTAGATTGAAAAAACTCCTCATTTTCAGGGCCGCCAGAGCTGGGGGGCAAGGGGGCACATGCCCCACCTGTTTGGAGAAAACGTGAAAAGTGCCCTGTTTTGAAAAAAACATTGCGTGTACTATTTTCACAGCCATTTATTTTCCCTTTAGACCCCAAGTAAAACAACTGAATTCTCAATTTCTAACAACATCTACTGCGAAGGAGACTGTCTCTTTGGCGAAAAAACTTCCCCAGTGTGTCGCCAGTTGTTTCTCTGCCGGTTACACACCGTATTCTCTCTAATAAACGCCGGGGTCACTCATATTATTCTTTTGCCTCAGAGAGGGGGGCTCGTTGAAGATAGATAGATATCCACCAAGAAAAAATTGAGCTTTGAAATTCAAACGATCATTGTTTTTAATCAAAATATTGCGTTTGCATCATACTTGTTAAAGCAAAAAAATTTGCAAGATGTCAATTTCTTCCGAGTAGGAACCCTCGTCGATTTGCATAAACACTGAAGTAGCATCTTGAATATCTGAATATTCAATGAGCAATCTTGAATATCTGAATTTTCTTTTGCCCAAAAAGGAGCGCTCATTAGAGATTTACGGTAGGTCGACTAGTGTACTACTATGCAGTGTTTATAATCTCGGAAAATTTAATTGGTCTAAAGATAACAATTTAGCTGTTTATTTTTTGTCTTGCTAAATTTTGGAAGAGATAGGGACTGAAAATTTGTTTTGAAATAGATAGAGCCTAAAAATGCGATGATTCCTTTCAATTTTGTAGACTATATTTGTCTAACTTGTAGGTTTTTGTCACTTTTATATGAATGGTTGCATTGATGTGGAATTATATTTTTTGGTATGTTGTAATTAATTGGAACATTTGTCGAATATAATGCACCTGCCATAAGTACGTGGGAAGGATGTGCGCCTGCCGCAGCCTCCACTTAGAATAAAAATTAAACATAATAAGTAGATATATGTTTGTGCCCTTTCAATTCCTTTTGCCCCCCCCCCCACTTAAACCTGCGTCCGGCGGCCCTGGTTTTTTGAGACAAAACATTGTTCAAGACTACATTTGACGGCAGCTCAGCCACAGCTTGTTCTTAATTTTTCTTAACTTTTGATTTGACTTGAATTGATTTTAATAGATTTATACAATTTTTGAGGCTCGTGTTCCTATAAAACTTTTCTTATAAAAAAAGAATGAATTCAGCTGAAGAATATTGGTCATTCGTAGAAAAATATAAACGTTCAACGAAACCAATCATCGTGAGAAGGAGATTGTCAAATAAGATGAAGATAGGAAAAGTTTTCAGATGACAGTCAAACTCACGAATCACGATCAAGCTAACGTAATACTACTAGAGTTTATTTCATGATGGGTGTAGATTTACCCTTTCCCCAAATTTTAAGGTGTGAGTCCTACGTAGCCAGAATTTCACTGGCCAGTAGTGGCATTCCGGGGGAGGGGATGGGGCCTGAAGGGGACACAATTCCAGGCTAGCCTGTGCTCCAGACCCCTAACTTGAAAGTACATATTTGTAAATTGATACCTCACAATAATTTCATTTTAATGACAAATCTGGCCTGTCCTGGAAGATATTATCTCCAGTGCGCATACCGTTTATATTCGATTAAACGCCGCAATAAACGGAGTTCTTAGAAAAAGGCAACCCTTGAATGTAAGCAACAACCACATAACCACGCAGAGATACCATGATAAAATGACGGACCAGAAACTGATAAAAACCCGACTAGGTATACAAACAAACATAGACGTTAGATGTCCAACTAACAAAAATATCGTCTAGATGACAGATCATCAATATCATCTAGAAGTATTTTTTCCTCGTATTCTACATTACCACCCTCAGCTTTATTGTTATCATTTGTTCCGTAGCCGGTTAGGCCGTTTGTGCACCCAAGACAACACCTCCCTTCTCCATCTTTGACGAACCCAACTCAACTTATCTAAACTCAACTCTTTCCATTCCATTCCTTGAGGTACGAATTCCATTTCAACCATGGCCTTCCTCTCCTGCCATACTACCTTCCATCACCGCTTTCACCAGTCCCTTTTCTCTAGCTGCATGTCCAATGAACTCAAACTTTCTTCTTTTCACCATCTCAATGAAACCTTCTGGTTCTTGCCCGTTTCGAGCCACTTCTGCTTTTACCAATTAAATTGTTCTTTTCTCTGTACAGCTCATACCAAGCAGTCTTATGTAGACAGTAAATCTTCGAATTTGCCACCCCCCTCGAAACCCCCCCTCCCTCGAATAAGCACCCACCCTAGAACTACAAATTGTCAATAAGCCCCTCCCTTATATAAACCTCCACTGCTACGGTAAATTCTCGAATTGGACCCCTCCATTTGATGATTTTTGCCATCTGAGGTTGCCTATGGCGTTTTATCGAATTACCACAACAAATTTATACTTTTTGTAGTAATTAATTAAATGCTCCTAAAGAAATTCCTACCAAAGTAAGCGAGGTCTTTTAATAATGTCTTCTTAATGTCTACAATAATTTTATAAGCCCCTCCCCCTCGTTTAAGCCCCCCTCGAATAAGCCCCCATCCAAAAATATAAAAAATAAGTAAGCCCCCAGTCGGCTAATTCGAGGATTCACTGTACCTTCATATCAAATGCTGGTAATTCTTTGTTCCCTTTTCTTACTCACAGTGTCTAACTTTCACATGCATGCAACAGAGTTGAAGCCACGACCACTCGCTTTAGCAATATCTTGTTGTAAGGTTTTTTATTGTTACTTCTTCCGCCATATATTCTACAACCTTGCAAGTGCACCTGTGACAGTCCCAATTCTTATTTTGACTTCCATTTCCGATTTAGCACTTTCCTCTATCTTTGAGCTTAGGTGAGTGAAGCTCTTGACCTGTTCTACTTGTACGCTACACTCTTTTTTTTATAAGAACAATTTTATAAGAACACGAGCCTCAAAATTGGTCGAAAGTTAAGAACAATTTAAGAACAAGCTGAGGCTGAGCTTCTGCAAAATGCAATTTTGAACAACCTTTTTTCTCAAAATCGAGAATTTTTAGCGATGAATGGGTGCTTTTTCGTCGAATATTTAAACTTTTCGGCAAATGAAGGTTGTCTCACTCACTTTGTTGGCAAATGAGGCCTGAACACCTCCCTAGAGCGAAAAAGCTAGCATTCGCACTGCTTACACCCTATTAGATTAAGAACAAATTAAGAACAATCCAGCCTCAGATTTTCAAAAAAAATTAAGAACAGTCAGCCTTAACTGAAATTTACTGGTTCTTATAAAAAAAGAGTGTATCTAATGTGAGATTAATCATTTCATTCCTTGCTTCCTCATTTTTGCCAACTATCATTACTTTGCTTTTTCCAGTACTAACTGAAAGCTTCCAAACCTTCCAAATCAGTTTGATGTAGTTTTTATCTTCTGGTGATGTTTTGTAAGCCTTGTTAACATTCATCCATTTATATTTTTTTATATTTTATCCAATTTATCCAATTATATTTTTACAGTAAATCAGCCTCAGCATGATCTTACTTTGTTCTTAACTTTTGACCAAAAAGAGAAAAATTTGTAGCCCTGCATCGAAAATTTCAGCTTAAACTGCGACTCTGTTGGCAGACAAGCACATCCCTGGATATTCAGTTTATTTGGTACCATGAAAGCTCCATTAAGCCCTCGGGGCTTAATTTTTTCAGACCTAGAGAGGAAGAGGGGGGGGGGGGGGGGGGGGCTCAGAGAAAATGGGGCATATTAGAGAGGTGGGCTTATTAATAATTCAACGGAAACAAATGTAATAAAAATGCCCTCATGCATTTTTTGTTATAAAAATGTCATACAAATGTTCACAAAATCTTGGCTAGCAGTTTAGAAAGGTTCTTAAAGTGAATCAATTAAAAATGTCTTCATCTCCCTCAGAGTCACTAGGATCAATTGATATGTTCTGGGACATCTAAACAAATTTCGACTGACTTCTAAGGCACACAAGTAACAATTTACATGGACCGTATTTCATGCACACAATCTAATCGTCATCCAGTCCGTCAAGAGACCCATTCAAAGCAAATGTTTTCTTTGCTCGACATCGACAGCGTAAGAGGGGGGGGGGGGTACTCAAAAGAGATGAGGTATAATGTCATAAAATCAAAATGATCGTGCATCGTTTTTGTAGAAAACCTCATTATTATTCTCGCAAACTGGCCTGGATCAACATGCTAGCTCAGTAGATTCAATATTTTGGTGGGAGTAAAATATTTGCGGCGCAGGTGCCTAAACATGTTAGGGTGTTCAATTAATTTCATGCTGTGCTGTTTTCATTTTGTGAAATTACTGCTCTGATTATCTTTATCTCATTACCAAAAGTCCTGGAATAGGCCCCTTGTACTCCTTATAGGAACTTATCTAGCAAAAAATATTTTGAGGTTAGGGCTGATTTGAATGTTGGGGCTTATTTAGCAGCAACAAACAATATTACTAAGGTAAATTTGTATTTGAGGTCTACTGAAAAAAAGATATACTGGGATGACTCCTATATTAGGATTTGTGTCGAGTCACAGGCACCGCGGAGATAAATGTGGAGGGGGGGTATAAAGGTGGGGGGGGGGGGGACTAAAACCGAATAAAAAGTGGCATGGTTGGTGATTCATTGGTAAATTTCTTACATTTTTGGCTAAAAGTGGGGGATCCCAGCCCCACTTCTCTGCGGTGCCTGTCGAGTCAGTACCTAGGCCCATGAGGGCTTATTCAGAGGTGGGGGCTTATTCTACAAAAATTAAATTAAGACGGGGGCTTTTTCGAGGGGAACCTTATTCGAAAGTGGGGCTTATTCAAGGGGAACCTTATTCGAAGGTGGGGCTTATTCGAGAGCTTACGCTAGTAAACTCAATCTATAGGAATTGTGAAAGGTATTGTTATTTAACATATCATGCAAATATTCATTGTCATGACATGCAAATCTTTAAAAAACGCTTTTGTCTTTTTCTTTCATATGCATTGTTTCGTGTATGTACATTGAACAAAAATGTGAACTTTAGATTTATCTATTGTTAATGTTTTAAAGAAATGTTTGAAACAATCTAGCAACCGAATCAGAATGTCACAAAATTTGCAAGATAATTTCCATTAGAACAGAATAACCAACATAGATTATGAGAATCAAATGAATCAAGTGATGTCATCAAATGAAATCCTAACAAGGTCTCAATAACACACTGTTACTGAGACGATTTTTCCAGTGGATTCATAATCAGGATAAACAATAGAGACCCACGCGATAGGATCATTAAGTTCTGCTAAAAACACAATGTACGCCTTCTATTGAACTTTAATTTGCACCGTTTAAATAGCTGCTACTAGAAAATAAACAAGGAGGCTTTTGAGTTGCAACTATTTCTTATATATATGGCCGTATGAAATGATAAAAAATGTCAGACAGAAAGGCTGTTTGGAACACTAACGGAAGTAGCTAAGGTTTGCCAGAAAAGTTTATTTGAACTTTTTGTCAAGGATGAATTCTCTAATCAGACAATTTAGCAATGAGCAAAGAAAGTTGAGAGAGTGTAGGGAGTCGATTGGAATATAATTGTCTTCTTGAATGTAGTATCGTTAGCATTGTGTCTTAAAAGATCAAGCTGATTTTATTTCTATTTGTTCTTACAGATAAACCAAAATGAAGTCGTTGGTTGTTTTGTGGGCAATTGTTTTTGCAGCTTCGGTAAGTATTCATCAATGCCATTAATATTTTGAAGTAGATGATAAAGTAGATGATCTTTGGGCCCAAGAACCTGCCTGCTAATCAATGCTACCGAGATGAATGTCCCAACTTACTATCCATTCTCCCTTTTGCTTTGTCACTGTTGCAAACAGGTTCAAGCCAGTAAAGGAAGATTTTATTCACCCCTGCCCATAAACTCAGCAAAAACATCCACAGAAAAAAAGAGAAAACAAGATTTAGGCGTGGCATTCTTTATTTCTTTCATCTTTGTGGCAAATTTGCTCTGTTTTTCGCAAGAACTTGGGTATTTACCTTTTTTGATTCATTCAAATTAGCTATTGGTACCGCAAAACTTGTAAATGGCACAAAATATCGGAAAAATAGCATACCAAGGTACTTTTCGTTAATCGTACCTCGAAGTTTGAACTTCGGATAAAGGCCAAAGGTAAGTAGAAAATTTATACCCTGGTGTGGATCGAAGGTAATGTGAGGGAGAGAAAAACGCATTTGATTAGTTTTTTGCTTCTGTACCAATCAGGGACCGCTAACCTCTCAACTAGTCGAAGAGTACAGCTGAATCATTTGAAGCAATGCTTAATCACTGTCTTGTCAAAGAAAGCTTTTACTTTTCAGGCAGAGGATTTTCACATGAAGCTCAATGAAAATGGAGAAACATTTACTGAAGATGTAATTGTAGATCTTAAAGAAAATACAGAAGAGATTAAAGTTCCACAGCACCAGGACAGGGCAGAATTAGATCTCCTGAACGACTTTAATGTGGTACGTTACAATTCTTGATACATTTATGCTTTTATATAGACGATATTGTTGAAGTACTGCAACTACAATAGATGTTACTATTGAAGTTTTAACTTGATTCTTTACTTGTGTTTACATTACAAAAAATATTTTGTCAAAATATCACACTGTCCAATATATTCTTATCGGAATTGGATGGAAAAAATTAGGCCTGCAGCGATTTGGGGATGGGCTCTTTCTGAAAATCTCTATAGTAATGTGATATGTTATTGGCTTTATATTTTTAACCTAGGTTGAAGTATTTCTAATAATTTCTTTTTCATTTACTTAGGGCCTAAGTGCGATGAAGCTTCCGATCTCGAAGAAATGCTACATTTCCAAGATCGCTCCTTCAGAACAAAAGCCAGCAGAAATGGAACAGAACATGAAATTGGTACGATTAATTTTCTAATATTCCGATTCTATATCTTACAGTTCACAGCTTTCGGAATATTTGCACAGCCTTGATTATTCGTTTGTTTCAAAGCAAAATGAAAATAATTGGCACAGCTGCTTTTACTTCTTAAAAGTGTTAGTCTTTCAACCTAGAGCACGTGGTTCCTTGCAATCAAATTAGATGTATTTTCTCTCAGCTACATTATCTAGCCGAATTATCCTTTTAAAAGATTTTAAGTTGATATGAACATTGATAAAACGCGATGGTGGATTTTGGGGCAGCCCTTTCAATCATTCAAAACTGCAAAAGTAATCTTCAACATTATAACGTTAACGCAACATCGAGTTTCTGCAATCTCTCCGGCTTTGTTAAGTTTGTGATCATGTCATATCTAATTTGAATAAAAACCTGAGACGGGACATTTTTTATTAGAAAAAAAGATTGATGAACGGAACCTTGGCAAATTTCTGCTTGCCATGCCCTCTAATTTTGCATTCATCATATCATATTTCTTTTGTCCTTATATATAATTTTTTAAGTTTGCAAAAAGAGTAAAATTTGCCTCCAACGACTATAAATAGTTTTCTAAATCAATTATTTTACTGTTTATCAGCGCATAAAACCGTCTTATCACTGCACAAAATAGTTATCACTGCTCCAAAATTAGATATCCCAGCTTGCAGAGCTAAGATAATGTTTTTTGATGAACTTCTGCTTTGTCACAATGTGCTCCTGATTACCTCGATGCATCGATCGTTACTTTATAGGGGTCTGAAGAAAGAGAAAGCAACTAAAGAACTGCATCTAAATTACATCGAGTGCGCAGAAGTTTACGTCTCTATGTATTGATGAATAAAAATTTCTAAATTTTTAGCCCACTTTCTGAAAGTCCCTATAAAATAGACTTGTTAATTGTAGCATAGAAAACTTTTATGAATCTTCTTTTTAAAAACATTATTTAAAAAATTTGTTATTGTTTTCAGGCGAAGTCAAAGTTTCCAACCCAACAATACATGGTTGAAACATTCAAAGTACTGATTGTACGAAAAATGATGAAAACAGAAGTTGGTACAAAGATTGCTGCACATTGCGATGGATATGACCTGCTTTTCACGATGCGCTTCAACAAGGAAAATATTGAAGAAGAGGCTCTCAAGATTGTGAAAAGTAATTGGAAAATTTGCACTTAGGTGTCATTAATGATTAAGCAATTTTCATATTTGTTTTCGCAACAAGCTTCGGCAGGGCTCAGCCACTAGCTGGGAAGTTAGGGAGCAAAGGCAACATATAAATAAAGACTGACAAACTTCCTTTTACTTTTAATTAATCGAGGAGCCAAGGCTCCTGTTTCCCCGTCTTTGAAGGAGCGTTGTATGAATTTGGATCTTTCTTTACAAATAAAAATATATACAGATTGCTTCTCGCACTGCCAGTACCTTTTTAACCCCACCCCACCCCTATGATGTTCTTGCAAACAAGGTCACATTTTCTGGATAAGGTTTTATGTTTTCTGGCAGACACATCACTTTAATTTTTGTTTAAGGTAAGCCCCTGGAGCTTTGTCATAGATTTCTTAACAGTAAACGTTATTGATCAGTTGACGTTTTTTTGCTGTTTGGCTTTTTTGGTACCTTGCCTTTTTCAACAAAATCTCTATGAATATGGATGATATTTAACTCAAAGCTTCCTTTTTCAGATGCAAGAGTGGACAGATTAAGAGCAAGAAGAGATGTAGCAGTCACTACTTTTACCACCTGCAACAACGAGAGCACAAAAGTAGCTGAAACATGTCCCCCAGAAAAGCTTGGTGCAAGATGTACCTTCTTTAGATCAGACCAACGAGTATGTGTTTACCGCATTACCTGCCAACCAACAGGGGGCCAATCTCAAGGCTTTGCTAATTGCGTTGGTAATCACCGATTCGATCTAATGCAATGCTGTGACTTCAGATGCATGGCATAAAGATTGCCGAACAAATTGCCGTTTTTACGTTGAGCATACTTCTGTAGCAAAATCGTATTTCTCAAATATCTTGTTATGTATTTATATATCTAATCAATTCGATTAAATTAACTAATCGATAAGATTATTTTTTCCACTTTTTTTTGCTGTCTACTGCCCTATATCAGGATGCTCTGGTAGTCTACAGCCGATATAAGAGCTTTTGCCTTCGATGAAAAATGATTTAAGGACAGCATTGAATCCAATAAAACAAGGCTTTCAGCATGATGATTAAAGATGAGAAATGTAGACAAAAACGCTATCACAGAAATTTGTTTGGCTTTATGATTTTAGTTCTTCTAAATCAACTTTCCTGTTGCTTTAAGGTCGAGAATTTTAAAGTCGTGCCAGCTTTTCATGTGCCAGAATTTAGCACAAAAACTTTTTAGTCACTAAAACCTGCAAAACGTGACGCCATTTTTTCAAGAATGTGCCCTCTCTCTTGCATTCAATTCATCCTTGCCATGAGAATTAATGTTAAACGGGCGTAGAACTTGAATCAATAGTCACCAAGCAGTTGACAAAAATGTTTTTGTTAAAAGCAGAATTTATTTACTTTTCTGACATCTTGAAAAAGAAGACTTATTATTAATGGTTTGCAGGAGTGAGATCAGCATTTTTTACAAATTACGAAGTAATTTTACAACCGTCATTTAAGCCTGTTCAGGAGAAAATCGTTAAGCTGAATTGAAATTAGAGAATGCCATCCTTTTTGTTATCACTTCTGCCCTAATATTTGATTCTTTTTGACGTTAGAGTTTAAATAATTTATTACGATTTTTCCTCAAAATCAAAATTATAAGCTAAAAATTAAAACTCTATGAAGACATCTCCTTCAAACTGCTTAAAAAGATCTCATTTCCAAAATCTGCGGTATATCTGATAAATTAATTCCGACTGAAACGAAAGGGATATTTCTGCAGACATCTGACATCCGATCTTACGACGAAACATTTTTTGATGATTTTTCAAGTTTTTCGAAAAGTTTTCAACGTCTCACAATAATTTACAGTCATAAAAAATGATTGTCTCGTGTATGTGAAAACTGGATTTTTTTCTAAGGAAATAAGATTCCAATCGAACAACTGTTCTAGCAATACGCTAGTAAATGGATTAAGGAAAAGGAAAAGGGAATCTATCTGAAGAAGTTACTGATCTCAACAGAAGTATTTTACGAGACTTTAGAGTATTTTGTTACACCCTAGTAACAAAAACAGAGACCCGCCTTGTGAATGTATGTTAGGAATCTCGGTTCGTGAAATTTGATATAATCTAACTATATTTGAGCGAAAACGAAAAGAAATGTTGTGATTCTGATGCACAAAACTAAAGAATACACAGAAAATCATTCGAACGAGCCAAGAATGACCATTGTAAGGATGCAAAAACCGAATTCGACTCAAATTTCCATTTTAAATAAGTGATGTAATTGTAGTTTAAATTTGAATTTATAAAATGATCTTTGAAGACAAGCAACAGTTAGTTGAAACCAAATATGCCGAAAGTGCGCTCCCAGACCAAACCAGCTCGATGAAGTCCCAACATAGATGATGGGAAATGGGTTCAGTCAGTGACAGGAGCCTGGTATCGGTGGCTGCTTTCCTTATATCTTTATCTTTAATTAATATGAAATCATTAACACTAACATTGGAAATCCACTAAAAGCTTGTTTATCTTTATCATAAATCATTAACACTAACACTGGAAATCCACTAAAAGCTTGTTTACCTAATACTGCCTTAATATCATGTTTTCGCTAATATGATGTGTGACAGCCTTCCTATATTGCACACAAGAGCAGATAAGAAACCATTGCAACGAACAAACCATTGCAACGAACAAACCATTGCCACGCAGAAACCATTGCACAAGCAACACGTGTATGATCTTGGCACTTATGACGTCATATTCAAATGAAATATCGTACGCATGCGTAATGTACCTGGCGGGAGGATCGCCTCGTGTTGGATTCGTTCCTCCTTCCCTAGCGAACATCTATGAACGGCAATATGGACAACCAACAGCTAGTTTCGCTTTTCCAAGGCACGCTTGACCCTAATTTGAGGATAGAAGCAGAGAAGAAGCTAGAAGAGGTAATACTTTGAATATATTAGTTTTGGGTCCAGGAAAATTTTGCGATGTTCTGCAAGTGCGTTGATGTTGATGGCCTAAGGCCGGTTTCCAAATACGGCATGCTCTCTGAAAAATTACAATGATTAGACACGCGTACTAATGTTCATAGCATTCGCTTTTGATTTGTTTTGTGTGAAAAATTTCAAATGCTTAACTGTGTTGTCCGTCAGGATTCTCATATTCAAATTTCCGACTTGCGATGACCTTTTGTAAGGAATGTGTCTGGATGTACATCGTTAATAATAAGATGTTTCATAACTCTGTCTAAAACAGTTTGTAATTTTTGAAGGCAGTAGGAGGGGGCTCGTAATTTTTGAAGGCAATAGGAGGGGGCTCGTAATTTTTGAAGGCAATAGGAGGGGGCTTCAAATCCTCGATAACGGATACAAATTTTAAATAGTGGAAAAAGTTTTTGAGATGATCATGATTTATCTGCATGTTATGTTAAACCTTCTGCATATGTTAAGTACAACTTTTTGTACTGGTTTCTTTCTTTAGCATCTCTTTGATTATTCTATCTAAAATCAGTGATAAAATACAGATTAAGAATGTACTGAAAAGCAAATTCGAGGCAAATGTTTTTATATTCTAAAAAAGACTGCTATTTGATTGCCATTAATCACTGATATGAAACATGCTAATTGAGCAAAAGATTGAGGTTGGAGTGACTAAACTGGAAAATCTGATACACAAATATTGCTGGACTTTAAGAAAATAGGAATGTTAAACACAGTTATGGAAACAACAGAGATGTTGCCGATCATTGTTTTGGAGGGTCTATGGCATTGTGTTCACAGCTCCGGAACATGTTTTTAACAGAATGAGTCTATTCATCTGATGGCAAATACTTGGTTTATCTATTATTGTCTGAAACTCAGCTCTTATTATGCAATGCAGAAATCGATATGTTACATTGCCTCCCTAAAGAGTAATCCCTCTAACATATTCACCTCATCAGCTGTGAGTTATATAGCTAAAAGATGCAGTTGTTGGAAATTGTTGATTATTGTCCATAGAAACAATTGATAGTGTATAGTTGTAAAAAATCAATGTTAATTAAAACAAAAAATGAGCCTCATATAACAAAAAACATAGGGTTTCAGCAAAGCTTATTTAGTAGCCATATGGCCATAAATTCAAGATCTATTTGCCATGAACTTTTATCCACAATGCTGATAAACAAATTCCAAGCTCTACAAATGTTCTAGAATTTTCATTGGGAATCCCATTTGTTTGTTTTGTAATAATTTTTTTCAATATATACTTAATGGTTATCAATTTGTTTAACCCTTATTATTAAATGAGATTCATTGTCTGAAAAGTAAAATTTAGTTTAAATATATATATAACACTTTTATTTTTAAAAAGTAAAGATTTGCCAAAATACAGCTGCAGATATCGAGTTGCAAATGAGTGACTAATTCATCTTTTTTGGTAGAAAAAGAATTTTTCACAACAACAATATGTATAGAGTCCTTCTTAAGGTCTAATTTTTGTATTTGTTAGAAAATAAAGCTGAATTTCTTATGTTCCATAGCTATCATATGCCAGATTTTTTATTCAACTGCAAGTTTGTAAGAATATTGTAGGTTCACTAGTGATAAGGTTCTTGATAATAAATCATAAGTGTGGAAAACATAAATCTGCTATTTATATGCTGGATTTGATTTAGCTTTAATATTTGATAACATTTCTTTGGATCAGTACTTTCTATTTTCAGCTGATTATAAACACCCTCTCATCATTATTTGCACAGCTTATAATTGCCCTTGCATAAAGGTGTTTTGCCCACTCAAGACAAAACAAAAAAGGAAGCAATGTTTGTAGGGAAATGCTTTAAGGTAAACTGGAATTCTAGCCTCTTACTCACAGTTTTGCCAATTTGTAATGGTTCTGGGGAAGGAAGGTCTTTCTCCAATGGATATTGGATTTTAGAAATTCAGCTTTCTAGTTATCATTTTCGTGAATACACAAAGAGGGACACAATTCAATTTTCTCTTTTTACAATGAAATTCACCCCTTTAGCAACAGCCCTGTATGCACTAATTGTAGTAAGCTCTCTTTTTCTGTGTTTAGATTTCCCACTTCCCTGGGTTTTCAGCAGTGTTACTGCAAATGGTAATGACCCAAGAAATACAGATTCCAATCAGACAAGCAGGTGAGCAACAACCTTCACCATCATTTTATGAATTTTCAAAGTAACCTGTGTCTTTGAAAATGTGCATCAACCTGGTGTTTATTACATGGATTACTATTATATATAAATGTACTGTTGGATTTTTAATCAATTTAGACTTGCCTTGGTCTTACATTTTTGTATAATTGATGTAAATTAAAAAGCCTGGTTTAAGTTTTGTTTTCTTGGTTTCTCAGCATTGTCAATAAACTGGGCAGAAGGTACCAATTTAAGAAATTTAGCAAAAACGTATATATATATATAATTAATGTATGGCAGTTTAGGATACTAGAATGACCAAGTGTCACTACAGATTGAAAAAGCATCATCAACAGGTTCACAAGCTGACAAATTGCCAAAGCCTGTGGGAAGTATTTTCCAAGACTGAAGACGCTCGATCAAGCGCCTCCATATGTGCCTAGAAAGTTCCAGGAGCTTGATTGATCGAGCACCTAGCATGTTTATGCTTTCTAAAAGATAAATGAAAAAAACCAAATATTTTTATAGATGATATTTGATGGTGCTCAATTTAGCGCCTAAAAAGTTGAAGGTGCTCAGTTTGTCAAGTGTCTGCTTTTTGCACCACACAAGGCCTGTTTATGTCATACTAAATTAATGCTCAAGAACTGATTGTTTTGTCACTTTTAGCTGTGATTTATCTGAAAAATATGATAAGCCATCACTGGGTGAAGAGGAATGAAGATCTGTATCCAGTTGGACATCTTCCATATGTTATACCTGATGAAGACAAACACACACTGAAAGAAAACATTGTTGAGGCCACAACACATGCTGCAGAACAAATAAGGTTTCACATTTTGTGTGTGTAAATGTATAATTATGTCAAGGCTCTCAGGCCCCTTCAAAGCTATATTGAACACTTGGCAGATAACCTTTCTTAAAGTAAAGGTATTTATTTTCAGCGCTCAATTTTCAACTTTAGTGACGAAGCTGTCAACTGTTTCCTTTGGAAGCAGATGCAGTAAATATTCACCTAGTGCAGCAGTTAGTTGATTTTGGTTACTTTTGAGGCAGTTTAGTTCCATTTGATATGTAAATGGATGTAGATCATGTCTAGGCTCATTTTGTATTCATGAATAAGCAATGTTACATGCCTGGTCATAAGATTTGCAGTAAACAAGAGGAGGAGTAAACAGCACTCCTAGTGATTTCCAGACAAGCTATTTGTATATGAATATGAATAGAAACAGAGGAAAAATTGATTTTAAGGCGAGCAACTTGCATTTAAGAGCAATTTAGGAGAGCAATCTGTAGCTCTTCTACAGCATTTGAGTAGAGCCTGGAAGGAAGCAAGCACTATGGCCTTCCTCAAATGGCCAGGTCTAATGTTATAGTCATTCCTAAATAGCATCATTCCTGTGCATAAGTACATGTGAGCTGAACCATTTGGTTTTTGATTGACCTTAAATTGGATTGTTCTATCTGCTTTCAGGGTCCAGCTTACAGTCTGTATAGCAGAAATCTTGTCATGTGACTTTCCAGACAACTGGCCAAGTTTGATACCAAAGCTGCATGGTTACATCACATCAGAAAATCAAACAACTTGGTTGGGAGGTTTGACTGTTCTACATCAAGTTACTAAAAAATATGAGTAAGTCCTAATCTATGTAAAATAAAGTTATATTAATTTCAAAATACAGTTTTAGAATTAAGCAAACGTGTTTTTTATGTATACTCTATTTATGGATTTTATTGTCTGTCAATTCACACTGTTTTGCATAGTGCATCGTTTTGTCTCAGATGATATTCTAAATGTTGATTTTATGTCACATAGAGTGATTATGACATGCTCCCATTTTATCTCTTTCTATAATATGTGTTACTGATTTGCTTAAATATTTCCTTCTTCATTAATCTGTCTTTTCCAGGGTAGTTCTTAGTACTGCTGTTTATATATATACTATGCTACCAGTATTAACTTCTTTTGCCCCTTCTTCATCATCATTTCGCTTTAAGTCATGGTAAAACAGCTCAATTAGTAGAGATGAAGAAACAATGTTTGTAATTACTCCCCCCATTGCTCCCACAATTTTTAATTGTCATCCAGGTCAGGACCCTTTTACACCCCTTGCTACTCCACAATCAATATTGGGGTACACAGTTGCTAGCTAAGGATAGGGGAGCAGTTGTTCTTGCAACTTCATGCAGGAAACAAGGATTTTATTGTGGTGTTCCATCACGCTAAACAGGCTATAAAAACAAAGGGGATGGAATCTTTTAATTTTCATACAAGCTTCATAATAATTAACACAGACTGCTTTATCTGATGAGGTTTGGCTGTCCAACTTTAAAAGTCACAATGGTAGCTTTATAATCTTATAATCAATTTGTATATATTTAAAAAACCAAATTGTTTTAGGTACAAGAACAAAACTGACAGAGGCCCAGTTCTGAAGGTTATGGAAATGTTTTTGCCAATACTCCATAGCCGTTGTGTTGGTTTGATGAAAGATGATACTGCAGAGTCTTGCACAATTCAAGCAAAGATACTCAAAATTTTCAAATCTCTAATACAGGTGATCCATCGTATTTATTTGTTTACTAAAGTTTTGCACTAAAAGATTATACCACATGAGATTTAAGTGAATAACATGAAAAAGCAAGAATATTTTTTTTTCTAAAATAAGCCTATTCATTCTAAACTATCAGTATTTCTTTCAGTTTGGCAGGATTCTCCATCATAAAAAATGATACCTTGGTATTTCAGTTCATATTAAGTAATTACTACCTGTTTATCATCACTATCTATATATAATGTGTTTAGTGGAAAATGTAACTGTTTGTAAATGTTTTTCACCCATTTAACCTGTGTATCCTGTTGTGGTTATAACTATATTGAGATTTTTATTATTTTTAATAGAAGCATGTATGACCCTTGCTGCTACTTACCAATCTTCTTGAAACATAATACATTTTTTTGCAGCTTCATCTACCTTTGGAGTTAATCAACCAAAACAATTTTCCTCAGTGGATGGGAATATTAAAAACAATTATGGAAAGGCCTGTACCTGAGGTAAGATGTATGCAACTGTCACAATGTAAAAAAGTATTTTTTGTATGTATATTTATTGTAATTTAGCTTATATGCAAATCTTAGAGAACATTTAAAAAAAAGGGAAAATATGATTGCTATACTCATTTGTCAAATATTACTCATTGATTTTATTAAAAGCATTATCAATATTTGGTTATCAGGTAAAGCACTTTTACCTAGATAATTGAAGTAATGTTTTTAGGTTTTTTTCGATCAATATTTGATAGACACTCTTCCGGAATTTGTTTGTTTGTAAATTTATATGTATTTAAAGTTCAGAAATTTCTAAACCTGGAAGTTTTGCGTTCATCTTATGATTGGGTTTAGTGAGCTTTAGTATACCAAGAAGATTGTACCAACTATAAGTAAAGAAAGAACAAAATGTTTGATCTAGGGCAAGAATATAGTTATTCCTCAATATAAGGAAAACGATTCGCCAATCATCGTACGATTGATATTTTTATTTATAATTAGGCTGCCAAAAGCTGGGATGAAGATGAGCAACCCTCACCGTGGTGGAAATGCAAGAAATGGGCTGTTACTGTTCTGTTTAGAATCTTCGAACGGTAGGGCATATTACATCATCCTTTAATCGAAAATTTTTTCGTAGACGTATAGTTGAGATGAATAGTTGCACAGTGCAGTTATGACGTAATACTTTTTAGAATTTCTGAATTTCACCTCATCATCTGAAAGAACATCATAAAGTATCACTGACCTTTTGAAAAAACATATGCAAGAACAATTATAAACGCGAGTTAATTCAATCTTGTGATTAAAATATTCTTTTGTGGTCTTATACATTTTATTGAACTCAGTCAACCTAAGGATGTTTTCTATATGCACAATCTTCGAACTCTATTATTTTGTTTCAGTTATGGATGCCCTGGCGGGGTCGGCGAGGAGTATGCTGCTTTTGCTGATTTCTATGACAAACATTTCTCAGGTATGTAAGCTCGATACAAGATTTCTTTCCAACACTTGTTCGTTTTGTGTCAAGATTTTTTCCAACAAAGGAAAGTGTTTTTTACTTCACTCAAAATAATTAGATAATTTTGCATGACATGTTTTCAATAACTTCATGTTAAGCGTTAAAGTAATCATTTGATGCGAAAACAAGTTTGGTACCAAATCGCAGTGTTTGAAAGGGTGTAACAGAAATATAGGGATTCAAGTAGAATTAAGGGGTGCAACCAGGATATCAAGGTTAAATCGTGTTATCAGAGTACAAGCAGGTTTTTGGGTATAGGCTGGTTATAGGGATTCAAGAAGGCTATTGGCTTGCAATCAAGCCAAACGGGCTCAAGAAGGCCATGGAAAGGCAAGAAGGCCAAAGAAAAGCAAGAAGGCCATAGAAAAGCAAGAAGGCCATAGAAAAGCAAGATGGCCATAGAAAAGCAAGAAGGCCATATAAAAGCAAGAAGGCCATAGAAAAGCAAGAAGGCCATAGAAAAGCAAGACGGCCATAGAAAAGCAAGAAGATTATTATAGGGTTTCCAGTAGGTTATAGGGATTCTAGGAGTTTGGAGGGACAAGTGTGGTGTGTAGGATGATGTATTCTGCGTTTACTGGTGAGAATAATATCGTAACTGCTAGTGTCAAAGGGTCACCCATATTTTTGCTTATGAAGTTCTCTAGTAGTTTAATATCACATAGAGACCTACAAGAACGAGTACTATATCAAACGATACAGGTCCCTAACAAAAGAGATTGTCGTTGCTTTGACATTTTCTGATGACATTCAAATAACCATCGCTTTTACAATGGGTGACTGCTATTTTTAAGTGTCATGCTTATAGGCAGAATAAAGTCGAAGCAAGTTAAACTTTATGGTTCCACATTTAATTTTAGAAAGTGTGATGGAAAGTATGCTAAAGATTCTCGATCTTCATAGAAGAAAAGAATATGTTTCGCCACGAGTTCTTCAGCAAGTTTTCAATTATTTACACCAAGGGTAAGACCTTCAACTAAATCTTGAATTTATATTGTAGAGACTACTCAGCTGGCACACAATGTGTGTATTAGAAACATAAAGTTCCCATTCCGTTCCCGTTTTTAATTTACCCGATATGCAGATTTTTGTAATATTTTTTTGTTGATGATCTCTGTCGTATTTTTATAATTTTTAAGAGCAGATTTTCTTATAAATATGAAACGGACAAATATTTTCTTTTTTAGCGTTGCAAATGCAAGGTCATGGAAAGTAATGAGACCTCATGTCCAGGTATTTTTGCTGGAATTTTTTCTTATTTTAAGGTTGAATCAATTTTCGACATTGTCTCCAATAGGAGAACCTAGATATCGTTTAAAAATTATCTAAGCTCTCGTTAACCTCCTTCGAATTTTCTTGATCTAATTTTGAAACTGTGAAGGATTTGAATTCATTGCATTTTAGACAATAATAAGAGAAATAATATTCCCGTTAATGTGTCATAACAAAGAAGACGAAGAATTGTGGAATGAAGATCCTCATGAATACATAAAAGTCAAAAATGGTTAGTGTAATTTCAGACTGAATTTGCATTTTATTGTGGTGTCAGCTTTTCTGTTTTACTAAACAAATTGTTTATTATATTTGATGATTGTAATGTTCTGAGTAAGAGGGAGTCACGGGCGGACACTTGATCAAATATTGAGGGGGCAAGCCTATTGTTTCAGTAAGATGACGTCACGTTTGCCATTGTTTTAGAACAAAACACCATTGTCCTCCAAAGTATTGGGGGGCGGTCGCCCCCCTCGCCCCCCAAGTGTCCGCCACTGGAGGGAGTTCACACACGACTGAACTATAGCTTGTTTACTCGTGAACTGATTATATAACAAGGGAGTACATACAAATAACAGCGTGACAATACAAAATACAAAAGGTCAGCACTAAACAATGGTATACACAAATACTACGACATTACAATGATGAATGGCTTTGTTAGCCTTTCATGCTGAAAAGAAAAATTGGAACATATTTATCAGAATTAGCCAAAAAACAATGTTTGTAAGCCAAGGTTTTTTGTGATTATATTAAGGCCACAAAATTATCGACGTTGTCTTTCGTTTAAGATCTTTTCGAAGACTTTCTATACATATCACCGAATGCAGCAGCGAAGAACTTGTTGATTGAAGTAAATACAAAGAGAAAAGGAGTCCTGGAACCCACAATTCAATTCATCATGGAAATACTAACAGCAAATCCACCTGACCCAATGAAAAAAGATGGCGCCTTACACATGCTTGGAGCTCTTGCTAAAAAGTTATCAAAGGTAGCCTTTTCAGTCTTTCTCCTAAATCAATCTTCAATGTTTTCAATAGAAAAGATTTATTCGCTCTCAGTCTTAATCAACTTCCGGTACGTCCAGCAGTTTTGATCATTAAAGAACTGTATGGAGTATCTGCTTCCAAAAGGGAATTCCATCGTCATTGGTTGCCTATAGTAGATGTGTAGGCTAGCCAGTTTGATATCTGCTCATTGTCTTTATGAAGAAATTGCCACATTTATTTGCTTTCCGATGGAAAACATTAGCTTAATTTCCTGTCATTTCTATAGATCCTTAGGGTGTTTTTTCATAGTCAAAAGAGTTAAAAAACCCTCAATATATCCCAGCTAGCAATGGCTCTTTAAGAACTACAGTGTAAATACCTTTTGTAATATGCTATCAAATTGTTCAAAGAAGAGAGAGCGTATGTTTCACTGATGTAAAAATCCCTTTTTTCTTTAACCAGTTTTCACTTGCTGGTGAGATTTCATGTCTTGTCGTTTCATTTCAGCGAAAGGAGTACAGAAACAACATGGAAATCGTACTCGTTAGACACATATTTCCAGAATTTCAAAGTGAATTTGGCTTTCTGAGGGCCAGGGTAATTTTCTTTCATTTTTAATCGTTTTATCGTTTTCAATTTATTCTAGATGTAGATTTTGTTTCTTATCTTACAAGGAAATATATAAAACTGGGTAATTTTAATTCACCTTAGAAATTTTGTTAGTATTGACAGAGGGACCTCAAAGTCTGAAGATATGGCGACTTTCTGCTGTATTCGATTTTTCCTTTTACAGATGCTTGGCTTGGACATCTTTGTATTTTATGTTGTTTCAGATAGTAAGTTTTTGGAAAACCTAGATATATTCTCTTTTTCGTCAAAGGTTATAAACAATCTAACCTTGTTCATTTTAGGCAAATTGGGTCGTTCAGCATTTCTCCGTCTCCCCGTTCAACGATATAGAAATCCTCGCGCAAACAGTGAACCATGTAATGAATTCATTGTGTAATGATAAGGAACTTCCGGTTCAAGTGGACGCTGGGATTGCTATTAGTCACATCTTGGAAAGAGACGAGGAGGGAGGTGAGTTATTTCCAAGAATTAAAACGACTAGGAAGCTGTTTTCTTGACCCAGGAAAGGCTTGTTCGGCAAATTTAAGAACGTCATTGCAAATTTAAGCAACAAAATTTTGACTACCATACTCAAACAACACTTTTTCTTCATTGTGGAGGGTTTGGCGAAGTTGCAGTTGCTTTGTGAACTTTTTTCGAGACGAGACGTTTCATTCCTCATATTAGCTTTTTGCTTCAACTTTCTGAGATCTTCTTTTATGTTGATTCCTCTGAGCATAGATTGTCAAAAGGTATTGGATCGTATTTCAAGCTTTTTATGGAGAGTTTCTGAAGTTTGGCAATAGGTTTTTTTTCTCTTGTAATACGTTGTATGGCCTAATTTTGTCATTTTTCAGTATAAAATGTTAAATATTGATCGATACATTACGTACTAGGCTTATTCATTATAAAATATGTATATACGTATTATTTTTATTTTAGTAATGGCGGCTATAAAACCACATGTCAGGAATATTGTCGAAAGTAAGTATCTGATCAAAATAGAATTCTATTTGGGATTTTTTAGAGTTTATTTTGAGTTAGCAGCAAGTTTCGTCTAAATGTATTCAAACGATAATATTATATTTATGAGAAGCGTTTTGTTCTTTTAGCAAAAAATGAAAGTTAACTTTGGTTTTCTTGTGCCATAACCGTAATTAATTTTATCTTCCGAGTTCTTTCTCGATAACTAGACAAAGTTCTGCAAAGATGTATGATATTTTTAAGCTATCTGTATACAAACTGTAAAACCTTTATGGTTCTACCTAGCTGTTTTCAATTTAGTTTTTGATTAAAAATTAACCTACATGGAAAATATTATATGAATTGAAATTAAAAGGTGACCGAAAAATTACACTTTTGTGTGGATCGAAGTTAGCTAATGACGTCAAACTCTCGTTCTTTTACTAATTTTGCTCACTCGCCCTTTTGCTCACTGCCTTCGTCTCAAAGTTCCATAAAGATGGTATCCAACCAGCACAAGTAAGCAATCCAGTAAAAGTAGGAACAAGTGCCATTGATCAGTTTCGATATATTTTTTGCAGAGCTACTAATTTTACTTCGCGAAACTCACACCGACGAATTAGCTGGAACGATTTCAAAGATGGTTGAAAATTTTGGTGACGATATTTCTTCGATAGCCTTTGAGCTAACAAGTACCTTGGTACATATTTTTAATTCTTTTTTGTGTTTTTGAAGATTCCCTGATTCCCTAAATAGCCTAATTCAACGTTTCCTTTTTTTCTTTGTCCACCCGTAGTGTAGTGTATAGCACTGAAGCCTCTCTTCCCTATAGGCGAGACGTACCGGTTTGAGCCTACTTCTCAGACCTTTCAAGCAGAAAATAAAAGAAACCAGGTTAGGTGTCAGGAAGGTCTAGGTACCTGGAAACAAAAACAAGAAAAAACAACCATTGATTTCAGCAATTAAGTCAGCTCTGTTTTCAAATTGAATCTATCTTACATAACACATTGGCTAAATAAAACATGCTTATACTTATTTATATATATCAGAAAAATTTTAGGCCCGTTTGCTATTTGGTAATATTTCCATTGCTTATTGCCTCGCAGTCACTCGCTCTGTTTTTTGAAACTTGTTTTTTTGCATTCAGAATTCAATTCAGTATCGTATTTATTATCAACGTTTAATCATTGTTGTAAGACGACGTTCAAGGAAACAATGCTATTATCTTTTAGTGTAAAACGTTCTTGGAACTCGTGGAAAGTGAAGAAGATTACGACAGTAAATCAGTAACGGCAGTTGGCGTATTAGAAACGATCGGATGCATTGTTGGCGAACTCGACCAAGAAGAGGAAGTAAGTGAATCCTCTCAGTTAAGGAATTGTAAGAACACCCCGATCAGTGGCGGACACTTGGGGGGCGAGAGGGGGCGACGGCCCCCCCCCAATACTTTAGAGGACAATGGTCTTTTGTTCGAAAACAATGGGAAATGTGACGTCATCCTATTTAAACAATAGGCTTGCCCCCCCCAATATTTGACCAAGTGTCCGCCCCTGACCCCGATTCTAGATCAGTAGACAGATAATTTTTTATGCCACCTTTCAGCCATGTTTTGGCTAACGAATAAAGGTATCTCGGTATTACACGTATTAATTAGCCAATTGTAAATTGATAAATGACCAAAGTTACTTCAGTGTCGGCTCCATGAAGTTGCAAGTTAAGTTGCACAATCTGTCAGTTACGAAATTCTAAGAACACCTCGATTTTAGATCACTTAACAAATAATAAAGTTTCTTAAGCAATCTTTCGATCCACTTTTGGCTAACCAATGAAGGTATCACAGTATTACATTTATAACTTAGCCAATTGTATAATCGATAAATGATCAAAGTCACTCCAGTATTAGCTGCCTTTAAGCTCCAAAAAAGTGCAAGTTATTCGTCGTCAAAGCCTTGCAATATTGAGGATTGACTGAAGGTTGAGATCAGTGACAATAAAGGCAATTTTTATTTTGTCTCTCTAATTGCTGAACACTGATATTTGCAAGCAGATCTTTTTAGAGGTCATTTTAGAGGAAAAATTTGGTTGTTTGTTCCAACATTTCTTGTCAGTAAATTCGATTGACTTTATTTTCAATGTAAATACTTAAAAATCAAGTCTTCTGTTATTATAATGTGAATATTGAAAATCCTTACTTCAATTATTCTAATGATAATAGTAACCAACAAATTCACAAAGCATCTCTTTTGTTCTTTCCTTTGAAAATCAATGATGTCTTCATTTCTTGTAGATAATGTCACAATTAGAAGAACTCGTCTCGCAGCTTATAGTCACAGTGCTACAAAAAGAATATATGGGTAGGTGTTGTTAACTTCAGTGATATTTCTAAAGGCCATTATAAATAAACTGAGTAATTGGTACTTGGGAATGAAAAAAGGGGAAAGGTGATGTTAACGATATAGAAGACTATATAGAATTTCAAGTGTCACGGTAAATTGGAAGCCGTAAGCAAACGCTGCCCAGCAATAAAAGGAAGACTAAATAATGTAATGTTATTTCGCAAGGTAGATCATTGATCTCTGTACCAAATGCTGTATTGTGAAAAAGATGCTAATAAAGTTATATATGTATGAGGATTTTGTTATTTATAAGGTATGAATTTCGAGAAACGGTTATTTCGCTAAGTTAATAGACAACATTGGAGAAAAAAAAGAAGAAAGAGAAGAATGAGTTTTTGCAACATTCGAAATAGGATAAAGTTTCTCGAGTAAAGGGAACAGTATCCTACCACAGAGAGCCCTAACACGTATCTTATAAGCTATTAAATGTTATGTTTTCCTTGTTTTTAATTTTCCAAGAATTTGATTTCGCTGCTTACAACTTCCTGGAATTCATGATTGTTTTATCATTTCTTAGAATTTTACGAAGACACATTTACAATTTTAAGTGAATGCACATCAGTAAAAATTTCACCAAGGATGTGGCAGCTCCTTCAGTTAGTTTATGAAACATTCCAAAGAGATACTATCGATTATTTTACAGGTTAGTGAGTTTGCTTTCAAAACTTTTGATCAAAAGACAGGATGCTAATCAAATTCTTTTATTGCTATCTGATCAAATTATTAAGTAAAGATGTGACTGTGTTATCCCCCGTGCTTTCAGTCAAATGACAAGCGCCAATAGTCACTGTGTTCGATGGTCGTTTACCTCACAAACGGGGGTGGTTTATTCACTAAAACTCATTTTTGTATCCTTTACGATGCATTTTAAAGGCCAAATATTGGTGCTACAGCATCATTGATTCTTGTTTTTGAGTTATTTTGCCATCCTTTATTCTGATTAAGTTTCCCCACTTTTTCATACTATTTCAAAAGGTAAGTGTATCGATAATCCACTTTTTAAAATTCTCCGCTTTTGTGTATGATTTTTAACAGCTCATTGAATATTTTTTTTATAGCTGATGAAATCGTTAGTTATTGTTGAAAAAAGGTTGAACAGGACACCCTTTCTTTGGGTTTGTCTGAATATAATCCTATCCCAAAACAAAGTTAACTATTAAAGACCCCAAAGACCAGAAAATCTCAAGAGGTACCCCATTCCCTCACCCCTCTTTTGAGCAAAGCAAAGTGCTTGATCACCGAATAACGCCGCCACAATTTTTTTATGTATAGTTAGTCAGTCGTAAAACGTATTAGATGGTCATAGTATACACCTGATTCAATATTTTTATGATACAATACCGCAATGATGGTCATGTGTTCCCCTCTAGGGCTGAAATTTTGTCTGCCACAACCTTGCATTAAAATTGATCAAGGGCAGTAAAATTTACCACTGATCTAATCATAAAGTTGTCAAACCAAATCCTTAGCTTGTTTATTTATGATAAATAATAGCAAGAAATTCGATATAAGTTCTTACGTCATTAGATATTAACTTTTGAGAATACAGGAGCAGTCTAGCCAGCAAAAATCTCTTGATGTTATCTTTAAGTAAAGCTTATTTCCATTTCCTCGTCATAATTTAGCTTAAAATCTGCTGGGTATTCTGTGTTCTAGAAATGATGCCATGTCTGCATAATTATGCCACTGTGGATGCACCAGGTTTTCTCGCAAATCCTCGAAACATCGAAATTATGTACGAAATGGCGAAAAAGGTACGTTTTTATATGATGGGTTTAATCTTTATTTGCATTACTTTATTGCAGTTATTCTCTTTATGATTCAAAGTACATATGAACAATTTTTATGATTTAGACTATTGTATGAGTATATGTTTGTAGCGTGATGTCTCTTTTGTCATAGGTTTTGGAATCAACGACGGGGGAGGATCCAGGGGAACAGGCCGCAAAACTAATTGAAGTTATCATATTGCAACACCGGGATGGAATAAGCCAGGTAAATATTGCAACTACATCAAATGAATACAGTTGTATGTATAAATCACCGATAAGACACTGTTGGAACAGCGATAAGACCAAGGGCCATTAAATTCCGATCGAATTTCTTCCTGTTTGAATCTTCTTAAAAAACAGTTATGTCTTACTGAACTGAAAGCTATTTTTTCCCTTCCTGATCGCCTTCAAAACTTGAATTACCCACTAGAAAGATTCAAATAAGTAATCTTTTTGTGGTACAAAATTTAAAAATGGGTGTAAAAAGCAAATATTTATAAAGGTAAGTCCCATATACGGTCTGTGTTGATAATAGGAATTCACTACTGTATCTAAGTAGTAACAACATACACTGAGTTCATTTTTTGAGGTCTGTTTTCAAATAGTTTATAATCTGCACCTTCTTTTCCAGTGGCTGCCGGCGTTCATGATGTTGGCTTTGGAAAGACTTACGAGAGAAGTGAAAACGAGTGAATTCAGGGTTCTTCTGCTACAAGTAGTAAGTTATTGAATTCGTTTTCATGTTCATTTGCTCGAAAAGAAAAAAGGCATATCTAATGAATGAAAGCTTTTGTCAAGAATCGTTTATATCGATGCAATTCCAGGTCCGAACCCTGTAGGTGCGGATATTCGACTTATCGGAACTACTATGCATTAGCCGAATGTCACTTAATCACCTGTCACCCTGTAGTTTCCCACAATGCCATCTTTGTGCTACACCGGGCCTAAACACTTTCTTGAAAAACAGTGCACAACAAGCTATGATAGGTTTAACCCCCATTCAATGAACTATTGCTGAAAATGAATTATTTATTCATTGCAGTCGAAATAAGGTATGTCACGGAATAAGGAGGTAATGGGTAGCTTTTTGATTAATATAAACAGGCTTTGTTCTCATGGCTGGCCCTCTGGGGTTTAAAGAGTTTTCAACGGAGCTTAGTCAAATTATTTTGAATGCTCGGGCTTAATTACATTTATTTCTGGATATTTGCATTTATGCTTGGAAAGCTATCGTACAATGTTACACTGATATTTGTTCACATAATACCGATAATACCTTGTTAATGCAGGTTATTGCAGCGTTGTATACAAATGGCCCTTTGGCTCTTGGAGTACTTGAGAAAACGCAGTTTCCATCAGCTAGTGAGCCTATCACAGCGCAGTTTATCACGCAATGGCTGAAAGACACTGATTGCTTTCTTGGGTTAGTATTCAAAGAATTGACTCTGTCTCACTTTTTTAACGGGCCTAAATTAAACACAAAAATTAATTTAATGCATCTCAGTATTGCTGCTTTACATCGTGTGTTATTTTTAGCTCCAAATGATTTTCATTTTAGTTGTTTTTGAAAATATTATAAATTATTGACCTGGGTTTTGGACAAGCGGTTTTCTCTACAACTGCAACTGTGAATTTTATTTTCTAGCTATACAGAACGCGGCTGATTTTTTCTGCTGTTCTTCACATCGTCTAGTTCTATTTGATAGCTTTTTGTCACTGAAAATCAAAGCCATAAAAGCTAATATATGATATCCCACTATTTAGGGACCACGGAAGTGCATTGCTGAGGGGCTTAGCTTCCAAATAATTGTCAACATTTGCTTAAAATTTGTGTTTTTTTGCTTAAAATCTCACAATTAATCATTTTGGCTTTAAATCTATTATCCTAAAACAGCCTTTCATCCCTTTCCCCAAATCATTTAATAAATATTTTCTCCTTGGACCCTGCATCCACTGCCTTCATATTCGTTAGTGTTCCTTAAAACAGGATCTCTTGATTATTTTTAATTTCTGTATCTAAATTACGCAAAAGTTTTGTTGGATACCATGCAACAACAACACATAATTGACTTCTTAACAGAAGACCAACGTTATTTGAAGGTGAAGGGAGGAGATTGATAAAATTAATATTAAAATTTGTGTTCAAAGCTCGAAGAATTTTATTCGGAATTTTCTATTATACAGTACACATTAATTTATGTTTCATAGACTATTTTGAAGCTCATACTTTTTAGTGATAATTTTCGAAATGCGTTTGTCTTTCGATGTTTACAGTATCTCCTATATTTCCCAACCTAGAATGCACGATCGAAAGGCGTTTGTTCTTGGCATGTGCTCTCTGCTTTCCATACCGAGCGGCGAAAGACCGCAAGCTGTAAATGCCCTTGCTCAACAATACTTACAGTCGTTGATCACTATATTCAAAGGTCTAAAAGAAGGATACGATGGTATGTATTTTTGTATACTATTATACAGATCAATGACTAATCAAATACACTGCGTTCAAACAGCCAACAGTACTTTTCATGTCGTGCTTTGTATTCTTATTTCCGCTTTTGTTTTTTCCAAGAAATAACTGCAGCTGACGAAGAAGACAAGGACGAGGAAGGTTTGTGTTGCTTTCAACCTTTTGGGGGTCTCTGAAAATAAAATCTGTTCATCTATGGTTTTTATTTCATTTGTGTTTATTTTCCACTGTTGTTGCTTCGTTTTGTATTGAGCTTAAAGTTAAATTTAAACGCTTAATATACTTCATATCCTTTTTTTCTTTCAGTTAAGTATATAGATTGTTGAAGCATTTTATAAATGTTAAACACCCTTCTTGAGTTTGCCTGTATGTTTTGATGCAGGAGGTGACGAGCTGGAGAGCAGTGATGACGAATATGACGAAGATGGAGCCGAATATGTTGATATGCTGCAAAAACAGGTTTGATATCAATATTTAGTGTTGAATATTGACCAATTATATATATCAACCCACGTATGACTTTTATTGATCTTGGTAGTTCTATTTGGTAAATGTAACTGCTTGAAAAGCCAAATATATTCTCGACTTTTTGTTAGTATGACCCAACTTTATAAATAATGTCTTTTGTAATTGTAATAAGTATTCTGTTTTTCAAAGATATACCCATTCGATAAAGTATTTATCCAGTTTGTTACCTTATTGACGAATATTTTCCTTGTTAGAATTACGTTTCAAGGCTACTATTAGCGTTTTCAAGCAATCAAGGATGCTTCTTCTAGCTGCACGCTTCGGTCTTCATTTTCGGATACATAATTATTTTTGTCTCTTTAAAGCAGCAAACATTTGAGTTTTGGGAGGGAGGAGGGAGGGGAGATGGATTTTGTGATTCATTTTCACACTTTCTTTTCATTTGCTTTGTTAACCTAAAATTTTACAGCAAGTTCGTCCTACTTGCGTTGCTAAATGATATAGTATTCAAATTCTCTTATTGTGACGTAACCATTTTTTGCTTTTAGATAGAGAGTAAATCGTCTGGACTAAAATTTTTCGGCGATTCTGATGACTTAGAAATATTTACGACCCCGATCGATGATAACCCATACATAGATGAATATATTACATTTAGAGACACGTTACAAGGTGAGAATCTCTAAATAATGCATAGCTTCTCTTTTCTTGTAAATAAGGGTTATGCTAGGAAAATTCCTTGAGGATTTTCGGTTGAAAACTGTCAGATATACCATAAACTCAAGCAGTAAGTAATGCCAAGCATGCCGAGTAAAATCCCAATTTACTCTGGGAGGGTTTATACCACCCATAAACCCTCTCCCGTGCTCGAAATACTCAATTGAAGCAACACGAGGTGTTGGAAGTTTTGCCAAATCTAATAAAAGTCAAGGCTTTTAAAGATAAATTTTGAGAATACCAAGTGTGTCAGGTGAATTGTTCGTGATTATGAAAGACCCTAGGCATCTTTTATTAAAAAAAGGACATGAAGAGTGAGTAGGCAATACTAGGCAATGGCTTTTTGGGTATAATTCTCAGCAGTTATGAAGCTAGGAGCCGAATAAGGGACAGTCCTTTTTTAAGTCTTCTTTTTATAGTTAGGAGAAATATTGCTTGATAAGTATCGTTACAAATCAATCAAAGAGTAAGGTCGTATTCTGTTCTCGATATTTTTGCAGGTTTGCAGACGAAGGACGCGCAGTTTTACGAAGTTATGGTCACATCGTTATCTCCAGAACAACACGGCGAAATTCAAGAAATTATTAACGAGGCAAACCGAAGGCAGAAAGCTAACGGTACGTCCATAAGTGTTAATTCACTCTACAGATAAGTTTGCATCTACAAACGGCCGGATCCTAAAATGTCTGGGTTTAACCTATTCTGAAACCCGGGGGACATTTTTAGGTTTTTTGTGCCACGCAACCTCCCAGTTCAATATTGGTATTCTTGCTACTAATGTTTAGTCCCACTTTGAATAGGGGGGGGGGGTTGGGGGTAGCTGTTTAGGGGTTTATTTAAGCAGCCTTGTCCAGGTTTTTAGGTCTAGTTAGGTCCACTATATTGGCTCATGCTCTGGGTCTACATTAATAACCTAAAAATTCGGTGCTAAAAATTTAGGTGGATTAATTTTCGATGAAAAAAGTTTGGGTCAGATTTTTTAAATTTCAGTGTAAATTTCGATGAAAACTTGAAAAGTTATGGTGGAAAGAAAATATTTGGCCTTTCTTTGTACGTGTGAGGCAAATACAAATAGGTCTTTGGTACCATTGCAAAGCACACATAACTTTGCCAAATTCAGAATTATAAGTAGGGCCTTTTGTTAACCCACGTGCGAATATTTCAAACATTTTATTCGTACTTTCAATTGTTTTGATTTTTCTTTCATAATTAGAATAAAGAGAGAATGAAAGTTTGCATTTGAAGCTTCTTGTAAAACATTTCATTTATAAAAGTATGTTATACATTGATGTTAGTATACGACTCAAAGTAAAACACTGAGAGACCGCCCTTTTTCAGTAGTATTTTATACAAATTATATTCTTTTAGCAATACCAATCAAGACATTTTTCTATTATTTCTTCTAGAGTCAAGAAAGTACGAGGAACAAGGAGGATACAAGTTCACGCTAGCAGACCTTCCTGCGAAATTCTCCTTTGGAGGATCACAGTAACCCTAAAGTTATTGGGATAAAAATTGGCGAAAAATGAAGTCGTCTTTGCTGGTCTATAATGGCAAGCTTAGGCCCAAAGTAATATGAAGAACAATGTATACAGTGCGCAATAAGCGCTCTTTGTTTTTATTGCTGCTTTACTTTCAATAGGTCAAAAGTGCCATGTTTCAACAATTAGGATATTTTCTACTGTAATGCCAAAATGGTAGGAGTGAGCAACATAAAGATGATACACGCTTGTAAATTTTTGAGATTAACTAATTATGCAATGAGAATGTAATGGTTTATAAGAATACAAATGCTTGGCTGTGTAGCTTCTACCTTTTTTAGAAACAAGTTGAATTATGTTTGCCGTGCAGGACCCACTGGCTGGCACTTTAATGAACCAGAGTATTAAGTGTGAAAGTCACAGTATGTTTATAAAGTGCATTCTTGCCAAATTTTGGCAGTAAATCGTTTTGCATTCACATGTCTCCAGATGCCCTTAATAAAGTATCATTACTCCCAATTTTACCGTTTAAAAAGAAATCTTTATGCCCTTCCGCCCGACAGTGTTTAAATCACAATTTGTCCGCTCAATTAGCCTATTTTGTGGGAGTGTAGAGCTCGTTCCAAGGCAGTTAACTAAGGATGGTAGCTCGGCTCCTTTTGCACTAGTTAGTGTTTTACAGTTTTAATAGTGATATTAAAAACTTCCCCTTACCAGTTCATGAAATCAACTTACCCTGGTAAATATATAAAATGTGATCCCTTACCAGTACATTAAATCAACTTTAAGAGTTGTGAGGATCATAATTGGACAAATTTGACGGGTAATTACCCGGAGATCCTCCATTTTTTTAAGTTCTGCTACGATCTATAACATTAAAATGTTTCTTTTGGCGATACAGTGTTGGTTATTATCTTTTATCGAAAACATAATAGTTATAATTCGTTGGTGACGATTTTCCATGATAAGATGACATAGGGTAAGTGAGGCTGAATTTAAAAACATGTAAGTGAGGACATAGGGTAAGTGTGGCTAAATTAAGAATATGTGACGATTAATTCATTTGGCAAACATTGATTTTTATGGTTTATTTCATATCATATGGTTCGCAGGTTTGCAAGAAACATAAAAACGTACAAAACGCTCTTGTTTATTTACTTATCTTTAATTTGTACATGGACAAAGAAATGCATCGTGTACATTAGATCCACAATAATCTGCAAATAATAGAAATTAACTTTCATTTAATTCTCTGTTTAATTGATTGCTGATAACATCCCCTCAAAACTTTCCTGCAATTTTCTTGCAAAGAAAAACCGCATTTTCCGTTTCTGAACATCCAGTGATTATAGCTATTTTTGCCATAGGGTTCAAGTCAAAAAGTCAAAAGTGTAGTGTTTATATATCACCGTGCAGACACGAGGAGCCAAGAGAAGTGAATAGTATTATATCTTTATTTCCAGCTTCTATAACATTTTTACGAAAAATTTTCTGCGTTATCGCTTGATCCTCGTTATACTGCCATACCTTCTGTGAGATCAGCGCATTGGATCAGCGTCACTGCCCGTTGTCCGTTGTACAACGTTGTCTTTTGTCTTGTAATTATTTTCGCAATACTTTGACCTACGGAGGAAAGGAGTTATAGAATCATTTTTTATTACAATGTTTTGCGTAATGTTATTCTCCTTTATTGGAAACTGCCTATTAAGAGGAGTGAAATCGTAATTTATAATAAACATTTCAACTAAATATGCACCATTCTCTTTTGTAATTGTAATTCCTCGACGGCTCGTTATTTCTAGATCGGCTATCTAACCTTTGCACAAATGCTTTGACAGTATAAAGACTAGCCAGTTGAAAATCTTTAATGTTTACAGGAAAAGTATTTATCAAAATTCAAAACACGTTTTATCACAGCATTGCTATTTAGATAGAGTTATTCTAAGTGTTGCAAGAATGTCAAAATGTGGTTGACCTCTCAAAGAACACATTTTGAAATATATACGAGTTACATTTGCAGGTGCTCGAGTTTACCAGAAGATTCATTGTAAACAAAAAATGTGTGGCCTATCATGTTTCTCTCCCCTGCCCCTTCTCCTGTCAACTCTCCTAGGCGTCCTTTCCTTTCCTTAGCCCCCACTTCTGCTCCCTCTCTCAAGACCCTTCTCCTGTCCCAATGCCCAAGCCCGTTCTTCTGTCCCCATTCCTAAGCCCTTCTTCTGTCCCCCCTCTCAAGCCCCTCGCCCCGGCCCCCATTACGAATGGCTCCACTCTCGGCATCCTGCTTCGTGCTGCTGCTTCGAAGTTGATTTGTGTTGTTAATAGGACACGTGAATCTTGTCTGATAACGAGGCATGCACATAATTGTTTGTTTGCGGGTTATATATTGTTATTTTAAACGCATGGGTGCACCCAATAAACATAGGTAATGAGTTAATCAAAAAGTTGCACATCGGCAAAAAAACTTATTTTTTACCCGAAAAAGGGTATTGGCCATGATTTTGTAACGATTTGTAGATATGAAATACACCAGAATGCTATTGCACTTGGCGATTTTCGCTGTTCTGACATTTGATATAGCAAAAGGTATTTTGTCAGTATTTATTGTCATTATGCAAATAGAATTATTTAACTTTGATTTATCATCACTGCCGGCTGTATAAAAGCCCACTAAAATAACGTTTTAACACGTACACCAATGTAATATAAATTTGTTAATAATTGCGATAATTCAAGTTTTTCAGCGCAATTGAAAGTTTGCATTTTTATCGATCTTAACGTATTCAGCAAAAGTTTATATATCGAAATTTCCATTTTTGCACTTCACTTGGTATAATATTTGAAAAAATCATTTTTTATAAAATAAAGCAATGCATGTTCCAATCTTCTTCTATAGCTAAGATAATAGCCATTTAAAACAATATTTAACACTAGCAAGTTTAAATTTTCTTTTAAGAAAGTATCGTTATTGTTGCTTAAATGGTTTTGTCAATGTTTGAATTTGAATTTTTCCAGGTAAAGAGGTTAATGTTGGCGAAGCGGGGAAACATAAAACACCGGAAAGAAGAGAGCCCTTAGGCCTGCCGTTGCAACCTGATTCAGCAAGACCAGATGAATATAAGCATGGAATGCACCACGATGAATTCGAGCATCAACCATTTCATGATGGCGACTGGGGCCACAGTTCGCACGGGGGCAACTTTGGAGGTCATGGAGGCGGCTTTGGAGGTCATGGCGGTGAATATGGTGGTCATGGGGGCGATTTAGGAGGTCATGGTGGTTACGCAATGAATCATGGACACGAGGCCGCAACACACTCTTTTGGCGGTCACTCTGATAATCACGATGTATGGGTTGACGGTCATGAGCCTCACCGAGATTGGCATGGCTATGGGGCACCTGGTTTCAACCACCAAAGCTTCGGCCACGGTGGCCACGGAGATTTTTGGTCTGATCACTTAGGGCATGACAATTATGGGCATGGAGGTCATGAGGGCCATCATGGTGGCTATGGCGAAGGCTATCATGGTGGGTACAGCGAGGGTCATCATGGCGGAATCAACGTGGGCCATTATGGTGGTTTTGGCGAAGGTCACCATGGTGGGTACGGTGGGGGGTATGACGGTGGTTATGGTGGAGACCATAATGGAGGTTATGGCGAGGGACATCATGGCGGATTTGGCGAAGGTCACCATGGTGGTTTTGAAGCGGGCTATGGCGGTGGTCTTGGAGAGGGACATAATGGAGGTTATGGCGAGGGACATCATGGCGGATTTGGCGAAGGTCACCATGGTGGTTTTGAAGCGGGCTATGGCGGTGGTCTTGGAGAGGGACATAATGGAGGTTATGGCGAGGGACATCATGGCGGATTTGGCGAAGGTCACCATGGTGGTTTTGAAGCGGGCTATGGTGGTGGTCTTGGAGAGGGACATAATGGAGGTTATGGTGAGGGACATCATGGCGGATTTGGTGAAGGTCACCATGGTGGTTTTGAAGGGGGCTATGGTGGTGGTCTTGGAGTAGGCCATCATAGTGGAGGCTTTGCTCATGGTTACCACGGCGGAATCGGAGGGGGTCATGGTGGTTTTGGTGAGGGGCATCATGGAGGCCTAGGAGGAGGGCATCATGGCGGATATGAAGGTGGAAGTGACCTAGGCCAACATGGAGGAGACAGTGGACACGGCTTGAATGAAGGTGGTCATGGTCACGTGCACTCAACTGGATATGGTGACGTCATCGGAGGACATGCCGCTGGCTTGCAAGCCCACCATCATGGTTACGATTTATCAGCTTTGAAACACCCGCATGTTTCTTCAGGATATGTAGCTGGAGGCCATGGGCACACAGCACCTGAGATTGGCAGCGAGGTACACAATCATGGGCACCACGAGGAGCACCATGAGGAGCACCATGAAGAAGAGCACCATATCCCGCATGCCGATGACTTGCACATAACAGTAGAGCAACCAATACCCGAAGTGCCACCACCAAAGCCAGCCAAAATTGTCCCACAGGTAACAGGTGTCGCCTTCCTACCAGATGATATTGGGACAAAGTCAGGTACTTCTGATTCACAGAACAATGCAGGACAGGAAGGATTTAAAACTAAAGATGGCACGAAGACGACCAGGCCCGTCACCACATCGTCGTCAAAAAGATTTGAACTGAATACCAAAAGTAAAAAGAGGCATATTAAAAAGCATAACAAATCATTAAAGAAATTAATACAAAGGTCGTAATTTGTAATAAGAATTATAAGAATTTGTAAATAATTGTTAATTGTGGCTAGTAATTTATTCCGTTGAGAATATTCTTATCAAGATAGGTCAGCGATTACTCTTAGGTCTTGTACTGAACTTATTAACTTATATTTATAGATTTTGCAAACATTAAATACTGTGTCCTTTCATTTTGAAAACTCTCGCAACTTTCTGTAGGCGATTGTCTTTTTAACTCTGTAGGCGATAGGCTCGATCGTCTTGATTTTTCAAAAAAAAAATGAGTTTCAACTTCTGTAATAATTCTCCAATATATGCGCGAAACTCTAGGATATCATCTTTTTTGTTTCTATCCAGTACCCATTGCTACATCATCAACTTTGAAACCCGCTTTCTAGCAGTTGTGTTTGGTGAACATTCAATTAAAGTTTAATTTTTTAATACTTGGGGTTAAAATCAGTTCTACAGCTTAAAATTTAAAATGAAATCAATCTATGCTTTTCAAAGGTAAAAACAGCAATGAATGTCTAAAGGACAGCATGTCTATGAAATTGCTGTCATGGATTCGGCTGCTCTGTTATCTGATTGGTTTATCCGAAGCCACTAGTTATTGATTGGTTAAAACTACACTCATTTTTTTGTCAAGAAATTGGCTTTAAGAAACTTCAGTACTCGAAGCAAAAAATTAAGAAACTATTAAATCGTAATGAAACTGAGAACAACGAAATTTTGTAAAAACCAAAACATGATTGCTCTGATGGCCAAGAAACTAAGACACAAAGGATAGCAATATACTTCCCACGTCTAAATACAGCGTCAGAACGGAAGCGAATCATTTGACGTGAAAAATAGAACACGAACGTTTCATAACATCATTCGTGACACCATAATTAAGTAACTCTTAAGAAAAAGTGAGTATTGAAATTTCCAGAAAATTGAGAAACTGGAGTACTCAACATCGACCTTTGTTTCTTAAAAATATAATATATTTACAACACTCTCAATCTTGGATAACGAACAGGAAGACATGCAATCAGCAAAATACCCAGACTTCTCTTAATCAAGGAATGAGCGATCACACCTCCTTTTGTATATTTTAGATTTCAAAGGAATCTCAACTACTTGGAACATTTTGTAGATCTTCAATAACACAAGGTCAGACATTACATTGTCAAGTCGCATGAGACAAAAATTCTTTCCATCTATATGTTTCTTTGTTTCTACACCTTCCCCGACTCTACATTTGTTGTCATACCTTTCTTTTCATCATGAATCGTATTTCTGTTCTACTGCAGACGATTAAAACCTGGATTAAATGTAAAAGAAGATCTTACTGCATGGATTACATGTTCCTTTTAATATAATCAATTCTTTACCAATTATCTCTCGGGCATATCAATATACGATGGAAGTGAGCATTTTAAGGCGGGAAACAAGGGGTGAAAATTGCTTTGTCAGAAGCACTGGCTAACAGAGATACGAATGTTTTTAAATGTTCCATTGCAGTGTTAATTTCTACATTACGAGATTCGCAATTGAAATTGTCGCTACCTTATTGCTGTTCCAAACGTTTTTTAAAGAAAGTTCACTTCTTGCAGTTTCAGTTTGATGCCTATTTAAACACATTCAGTTTTATTAGCTAAAATGTAATTTCTTTTTCAATAGGATGTTTAATTCATTTATCAATACATTCAAAAATACGTACAAGACTGAAAAATTGAACTCAATGTGAAATTTTTTTCATTTTTTACGGGAGAACCTCAATTTTTCTTTTCTATGACTTAGGCAGCCTTTCCACTAGCCTGGGTTAAAACATACCCGGGTTAAAAGTTATCAGTTTTTAAAGTGAGTCAATGGAAATGGCATTTTTGTTCGACCCGTTTTTAATCCGTTTTTGATCGTTCCTACTAAGCCGGGTTAAAATGTATTCAGGGTGAAAAATTGTAAGAGAAATCTGTATTTGCATAAAAAATCCTTCAATTTCTATCGTTGTAGGCCAATGGAAGCAACATCGACATCCAGGATTTTGTTTTTTTTATTTTTGGCACCATTTCAATTCTTAAACGTTGCTGTTGTTGCAAGTGAGTCCGAAGTTATCCGGGTTTCGGCGTTTCCATTAACTCGCAGGTGGATCAAAAGATACCCGGCTAAAAACTGACCCACTTTGAGACCCGTTTTCAAACTTATCCGTTTTTCAAGTGGGTTAGTGGGAACGCGACGCAGAAACGGATAACTTTTATCCCGGATACGTTTTAACCCAGGCTAGTGGAAAGGCTGCCTTAGGTCTGTGCCTTCTACGATGTCCCTGTTTCAAATCAGTTCCGTAGTGTCTTCCAGACGTGGGTTCTATATTCTTGAGAATAAACCATTTAAAAAGCCAATAATCAAAGCGGTTAATACATGTTGATAAACATTGATTTCGAAAGCTAATAGTAACAAACATCTGGCTTGGGTGAAGCAAGGTTCGCAATGCCTCTAACCTGCTGAGAATGGGCTGTGATCAGAGCTTGACCGAACCTAATGTATGCTCCAACGGTTCAGTGAACAATTGCTAAAACACCTTCAACGTCTAGAGGTGATGTAATTGAATCTAGTTTTCGGGTTTCTAAGTATCATAAAATTAAATAAAATCAGAATCTAAATAAAAATAATGTTTTAGTTATCAATTACTTTTCAGAGGTATATATATACGAAAACTGTGGATGATGCAACGATAAAGAATATTGACGATTGATCGACCATGAAGGGATTTTTGGTGATTTCTTTTGTTTTCGTTTTTATACTCAATACTTTAGCCAAAGAAGAGAACAGCAAAGGTATGTCTTCGTGTTTTTGTATATTTTTTCACATAGTCTACTGTGAAAAAGTATAAGGTTTAGTGTTGTATCTTATTTTAAGTTGAATGTTAGCTTAATCAAAAATACCTTCCAAATTGAGAATGATTTAGATGCTTCGCTTATTTTTAGGCCCCTTAAATATTTAGGCTATGCCTAAACTAATTAAGTATGTTATAAGTCACTTATGCAACAAAATATTGTAAAATGATAAGCAACCTGCCTTAAAGCTGCATTAGATATATGTTACACAAAGTTAATGGCCTAATCCATTTGTATAACACACTGCACTCAAACGCACAATCTTTCTAAACCTGAGAATCTAAAATCATAAAATTCGAGATGTATGTTTGAGTGATTTTCACACAGTATATATACTGTGATCTTTGTGATTCTAAGACAAGCTATATTATCTCTCTTTTGATTATAAAGCACATTTCAAGATAAAAGGTGATAATAGGCTCGATTATTTAGGTAAAATCTTTGTAGCTGATTGTAGGTCCTAGAATGATCTTATGATCATAGCTATGGAATCAATTTTAGTTGTTCTAGGCAACTCCTTGAGCCAGATTGATTTTTGTGATTTATTGTATCCTTTATATGTTCCTGATATATCAAAAATACGATTGGTTATAAGGACTAGAGTCGTTTTTTCATCTGCTTTCGTCATTCAATGTCTGACAGACAGACCTGTACAAACTTTAGCTGTTAACATAAAGATGGGAATATTAAGAATGCTGCGATTATATGAAATATATAGAACAATCCCACCATTAAAATAAAACTTGCTAGTTACTCTGGCATCTGATTAAGTTGTTGAACCTGCCTTAAACATATCTGAGATTTCTCTACCCATGTGACTATACCCCTTTTTGAAAACCAACAGTTCCTTGCACACATCCCCCCGATAACGAAGCCTCTCTCCCAAATGATGTTTGTTTACAAGTTAGCTATGATTGCTGTCAAATAAGAATTTATAGTACAATACTGAGGCCTTCAAAAATCATTCAATGAAGTGTAGTATTGAAAAAATTTATAGTGCTTTAAGACTTTTTGTAGTCATCGAAAGTTTTTATTTATTTTTCATTTTAACATGATTATACACAACAGCCAAGATTGGCTGCTTTCAATGGAGTCATAGCAGAACTTTGTTAAATGATTACTTGTAAAAAGGAGTAACCGAAGAGCAAAGAAACTTGATCTATAAATGCCATGTTGCCCTGCTACAAGATATTGCCTATCAAAATCTCTCATCATATCTCGGTATTTATTTTTAGCCGTCGTACGAGAGATATGGAGTCAAGTCAGAGGAGATTCATTACAGAATCTATTGGCTGATGTTCGCTTTCCACACAAACCCTCGAAAGTCTCTTTCTTATCGACGTTTGACACACCAACCAATGATGGTATCCACTTCGCCCAGAGACTAAAAGGCTATTTCACAGCACCAACGACTGGGGAATATAAATTTTACAGCAGTTGTGATGATGAATGCGAGGTTTTCCTTGGACTTGATGGAAAAGAGGGTGAAAATAATAACATTATAACACAACGGCGGTCTTCGATGCACAATGAATTTGATCGGTGAGTTCTTCCAGATAAGCACGTTAAATAGGTATTACTTATGGCTCTGTCGTACTGCCTGGTGAAGCTAGTTACAGAGAGAAGACTGTTGGAGTTGCTATACCAAATACAATTTATTCTTTTTCGTAATTCAATTCAGATTTGTGAATCCCTCACTCTTGGTAGAGGGTCGGCCAAATTTGCTTTAAATGCTACCATGGCGTCGTGATTGAAAACAAGTTTGAAAATTGAACTCTATAACTATTTGGTCGCTTTGCTTTTCTAACTACTGAGGCGATTTTGGCTTCTTTGACTTTAAAATATAACGATGTGTGATCTTTAAGAAGCAGACAATTCAAGAGTAACTTGATATATTACTACAGAAATTTGTGAATTGATACATTGGAGAACAGCTTTGGATATTTTATACATGACTCAAAAATGCTATTTTTTCAAGAAAGTTTTATATTCCTAAAAATTTTATTTTTTCAAGAAAGTTTTATATTCCTTATTTCCAATTTCTGAATTATAATTTGGCTATAGATGAAAATTTCGATAATTTGATAAGATATTAGTGTTACTGTTCTCAAGAAAAAGAGCTGAACCATGGGCCATTTCTTATAGTTTATTTGTTAAGTTATCAGTCTCTTTAAAATATGACTTAAAATATACTAAGGTAGCATCATTTATCGCGTATACAAAAACATATTATTTCATTTACAGTTTTCCGGATCAAGTTTCGCATTCAATATACCTTGAAAAGGGTAAATCGTACTACCTCGAAGAGATTGGAAGACAATCGACTGGAAGAGAGAGTCTCTCTCTCGGAGTAGAGTTGCCGAGTGGCAAAAGGTTTTTCCCAATACCAAGCAAATTTTTGGCAAAAAAATCTTCAAAATCAACTCCAAAGGGTATGTTTATTGAACTACTGAGTAATATTTGATTTATCTTCATTTGCTCATAAAATCAGTGTTGCTTACTCGCCCCTCGTTAGCCTATCCGCTTGAGCTTAACGTATTATGTATGTGGAAAAGACCGTAATCCTAGTCTAAAATGGTGGGACACGAAGATACTGTTTCTCCCGTTAACCCATGCTATCGCAAGTTTCCACCAATGATTTAATATGAGCAAATAATAATAATAATTTGATAAATACTTAGCTTTATTGACGAACATTATACATGGGTTAAAACGTTATAGAATGTTGGTTTGTAAAGTACACATATATGGCACATAAAGAAGTGTTGATACCCACTGCAATGAAATTGTTTTGAAACTTGAACAAGGCATGGAAATAGTTTTTCAGCGTCTTTCAGGTTATTCCTTCCGAGTCATATCTTTCAAGAATAATGATTTGTTTTGTTTGGTAATACTAGGCCAGAAAGTGAAGTTAGTGAGATCCAACAAGAGGCATGGTAAGGAGTCCGAATCAAGCGAGATGTCCGAGGGTTCTCTTGGCAAGCTCTTGGTATCAGCAAACGGTGAAAAGAAGTCAATGAAGTCAGATGATTATCCCCAGGAGAACTTCTTCCCAGATAAAAGCGATGCCCAGCCCCAGGCAGTTTTGGAGGTGGAAGGAGCTGATATCGAAACAACAGACAGTAATGGAGGATCTAAAGATGCATCTACTGAGGGAATGTTTTCAACTAAAGAGAGTGATCATAAAGGCATGGATGAATTTGAGCTGAGTCCCAAGCTGGAGGTGACGTCAGACGTCACGAGTAATGGGCTGCTAAATGAGGCAGGCATAGAGAAAGCTGTTGAGGAGGCGCTTAGACAGAGAAACGATAAACAAGAAAATCGGGAAAGCGAAATGGCATTTGCAAGTACGGGGAAAAAGGAGTCTAGTGATGGTCTTGAAGGACATGGAGCTGAGGCTAGTAAAGTGCACAATGTTGGTGTTGCCGAACAAGACTTGAGTGCTAATAGTAAGAATAATGACACAGTGCTCGAGATGAACAAGGTGGCAAGTGAAGCCGGGCAGATTGCTATGAACCTTGTTAATGTGACTAACTTTAAAGTGGTCATTCCTGGTGGAAAGACCTATCAAATAAGCGGGTCGCCAGGAAACAAACCATTAGTAACAGTTGTACCGAATGCAGAGAACACGACGGTCGCAGCGCAAAAAGACGATGTGAAAAACGAAACTGCTGCGGCAGCAAAGACTTCCACACAAGCGAACAAAAAAGATTCTTCAGAAGGTGCAGTGGGTGAAAAGACCGTTACTGCGGTGCAGCATGGAAATGTTGTTGATGTCAATCTTAATAACGGTATGGATGTACCCAAGTTGATACCAACCAATATGGACCATCCTGTAACACCAAATGGCTTAGCAACAGGCTTTCCGTTAATGGGTGTACCAGTTTTGGAACATCCGCGTCCTCTTCTCGATTCATCAGTTTCTTCATTAATGTACCACCCAGAGCCGCATCCGATGGACCACCCCATGGAATACCACCATGAGCCTCATAATGATCATATGCATATCGAGGTTAACTCCTCAGTACCCGCCCAAGAGGCCCCGAAACCTCAGAAGCTAGATCCTGAAGTAATCAAAGTCGAATTTTTGCCTGAGGGAATCTCAGTTGATACCACCGCAGGCAAGATTTCTAAGAAATGCAACCACGAATCGACAAAGAAATCTTCAGACCCTACTGAGTGTAAAGAAGATAAAAAGGAAGAAAAAAGTAAGGAATCGAAGGAAGAAGAAAATTCTTCAAAGAAATCTGATTCAAACTCGAAGCACGGGGTATTATTAAACGGCACAGTTGTGGCAGCACCAGATGCCAAAATGTTCGTAGCTCCATTTTTTGCCAAAGGGTTACCAGGAGATGTCACCGTTGTACCAGCTGAGAGACAGGCACCAGTGACAAGAGTTCTGGTTCAGGATATCGCAGCGGATAAAAATGAGACGAAAATGAATACAGTGAAGATCGCTCCAAAGTCGAACGCTCAAGAAGACTCACCGTTTCCGGTAAGTACTGTCTGATTCTACCTACCGTGTAGAAGATGCTATCTTTTAAAGTGCCATTGATCTATTCTGCATTTATTAAATAATGATTGCCACATCATTAGAATATTATTCTGGTTCATATTTTACCTCTCTCGTCACTTCCTGTGCCATGCTGTTTTTTTACAGAGAAAATGGGAAGGGGGTGTTCTCAACAAAATTTATCCAAATAATTGAGATAAAATTTCCAAAATTGATTACTTTACTGATCTCTTGTAAGGATTCTAAATGTAACGTGATAAACAAAGCAGATTTTCTCCGAATAACTCTCATCGTCTTTCATTTCATCATAAACACATTGTGTATCCATAATTCTTTCAGACAGGGTTTTTCCTTTTTTAATAACATTTGACAGGTTCATTATAAAATTTTCCCCGAAATGTTTTCATTACCAACATGTCACCAATGATTTTCTGCATCTTTGTTGAGGAGACAAGCAGAAGAAACTTTTTATGAGTGACGCAAAGTGTATAAGTCAAAAAGGATGATAAATATCTATCAAGCTTCGTGCGCATCCTTGACTCATACACTTTGACTCATACACGTTGATCATACACTTTGACTCATGAACTTTGACTTACACACTTTGACTTATGAACTTTGACTCATACACTTTGACTCAAAGGCGGGGGTTCCATCTTACAACAAAAAACTCTCTTATGTTAGTACCTCTAGCAAATCTCAATTGTGATTACTTTATTCATGCTTCGCCTGTCATTTTATCGTAGACAATTACTGGCTCCGTAATGAACAACGTGACTGGAAAACCGGTCCCATTTGAAGTGAGAGTTGTTTCAAATCAGCAAGAAGCTCAACAGTTAGCTGGTGGCAAAGGTACATCTATACTCTTTTACTTAGTCGATAAGGCTAAAGGTATCTCTATTCTAAAACTCGAAATTTCCGCTCAAGATTATTTCTTGAATTCATAAACATCAAACTTTTGCAATACCAGCAATACCAACACCCAAAAAGATGCTGCTTTTCTTGTACTGTGTTGCGATGCTTGCTTTCCAATACATGCAGCCTGCAAAAGAGCAATATTGACGGATAAACTTTTAGGTGGTGGCATGGGTAATTGTACTATTAATTGTTCCGGTAACAAACTCATTTGATCACATGTTTACAATTCAACCAATGAAAAGCTCCTATTTGTATGGTGTTTAATATTCTTGATACTTTATCTTTGTTTTGATTCGGTTGTGAAGATTCGGTTTGTTCTTCCCCGGTATTTTGGTCTTTGTTTACCAGTCTTTCATGCTTTGCCAGTCTTTCATGATGATCGTATTAGGCGTGAAATTCGGAGCAGCCATTTAGAAATATCCTATTCTATAGTCTAAAAACAACTTGTAGAATCATCATGATACGATCATAATACGATCATCATGAAAGACTGGCAAAGCATGAATAACTGATAAACAAAGACCGAAATACCGGGGGGGAGGCGGGGGAGTCTTTGTCCCCAAGAGACTGTATGTTTACTTCCTTATTTTGCTATTGCGAAAATACTTTATTTCGTATAGTTCCCCTTTTATTGAATCGTTTCGATTATATTAACTTGGTTCAATCTTTTTCAGGAACAAACTTCACAATCTCTGCCGACAGTAGAACATTCGCTAGTGGTGTTACAGCAGGAACTAACAAAAAGGGCCAACAGCAGACGATTATAATCCTACCGGACGCCCTCAAGAAGCACGAAACTGAAGAAGCAAAGGATAGGAGCAGTGAATTTCAGCTAAAGCCAGAACCGCAGCCTGCACCAGCCAGCGAGAAGAAACCGGCTGCGGAAAAGACGTTTCCGGTTACAATGGATAATGTTTCGGGAGGTGGTGGAGGGCCACCTCCTGGAGAGTTCATATTCCCTGATATGACAACCTTGAGTAAGTCAGAGTCAGACTTATTTTCTTCAAAGGGAAATTAAAACTTTATATGAAACGTAATGCATATGTAGCAAATCGAAGTTTTCGTTAATTTAATATCATTTTATATGTTTTTCATCGACCTTTGAACCAATTGTCATATTTTGCCGACATCTGTTGGTCCTATGTCGCAATTTGCATGAAATTTCATCATCATAAATTTACCATTAAGTACCATTTTCCTAATGAGGTTTCAGTTGAAACGTGTTTTTCATGTTTTTAGTTTACTTGATTCATTTATTATCAGTTACCTTGATATACTTCCCATGGCCCATTTTATTTACACCGATGATAACAGTAGAAAACAGCTTTAACCCATCTAAAAAAACATTTTTACTCACATCAGATCCTGGATCAGATCCATCAGTTGTTCCTGCATCAAGCACAACATTTCAACCACCTGCTAATCAAAACAACCAAATGCCGGGAATGGTGCAATCTAATATGTCTCCAATGAACCAACAGCAACCACAACAACAGCAAGTTCCAGGTAACGCAGTGTTTGGAACATACCTTGTCCCATTGATGTTCTAAGTTGTTTCTGACTACACATAAGTCTAAAGACGCTTTTACCAGTGGCATAGGAGAGAAAAGCCCCCCTTCTTACTGTTTTGACTTGATATCATTTAGCCTTGAATCAAGGACTTAGGAAGATTTTCGAAGTTGAAGAGGCACAGGTAGGAAGTGGTGATATGTCTCAGAAAGGGGTGTTTTTCCAGAAGTCCTAAAGAGGTAACTCTTTTGAAAACGGGCATTCCCCAACTAATTAGAGGGCACAATTCCCTGTTGCACCCCCTGTTCCAGCATCCCTTCTTTAAAGTAAATAGTTTTAATTCGCTTTTTTATACCTCTGGAACTCTTTTCCAGCGTTGGGAGGACTGACATTAATTTAGAAAGGCTTATTTGTATCAAAGTTGTGTTTTATTCTTATATCATTCTATATGATATTTTATTTTAGATGGACAATAACCCTTGATAGAGTTTGTTTCAAAGTAGCCTGGAAATATTAAACGGCAATTAATTTCGCTGCAGTTTTGCTTAAAGAAGTTTATTTTTATTAACAGACCAAGATAGAGTGCTCGTTGCTGGTCCACCAGACAATGTCTACCATGGACCAGTTCTCAGTCCCATTGTAAATACATTCATGACAGACTTGAACAAAGGCTCATTTTCAACTGAGGAAGCCTTAGATCTTATGAATAATTACGTCAGTGGAAGTCAAGATATGTCAGCTTCTATCAAGAAACTTCAAGGTGTCTTGCAAAAGGTTGGTTCTCGTGATGGCACTCCACAGGCCCCACAGGTCCAGCAGGCTCCGCAAATAAATAAAATGGAAGCCCCTGTGCAACAAAAAATGAACGGGATGCTTCTCAAGGGTATGGGAGGTGCCAATTCTTTTAATCCAGCACCTAAGCAACCTCAAGTCGTAAATGCAGCGGGAATAAACGCCCCTACAGGAGGAGAAATTGCTGCTCTGCTTGCAATAGGGCCTAACAAGGAATTCGGAGATATGGATGGAAGGAACAGGATGTACGAAAACAGCGAGGAAGGGCCAAAAGAGGGTGAAAGTGATTTGTATAATCGACATACTTACCCAGAAAACCATTTTGAGCAAGAACAGAAATTCCCACCAAACGCATTTGAGCAACAACAGCAACCGCCAAATGCCTTTATGATGGACCATAATACTGACCAGGCAGCTGTTAGGCAGATGAGTCAAATGGGCCGTGAAAAGCCACCGCCGGTTCATCTGTTCCAGAACTTTGATCCGTCCGTGGTTTCGCAGTTGCGCGGTGGCATGAATGAGAATATGATGCGTGGAAGTAACCCTGCCCAATTTGGTGGGCCAATGGAGGAGCAGCCAATGCGAGAAAATGGCGTCATGCCATTCACGAACAATCCAGATGCAATGCCACATCAAGGTAATCCGGATTTTGGAGCGATCCGAAACAGTATGAGCAGTTTCTTGAATCGAATCGACCCACATGAAATTAGTGTAAACCCAAGTGTTGCAATGCCTGAAAATGGATTGTCAAGGAAAACGCTAAGCAAACGGCCGCAAGAGTCAAATTCGCACCAATACGACCCACCACAAGGTGCCTTTTACAACAATGCACCAGGAAACAGTTTCCCTGGCAACCAGGAGGAATACACAAAACGTGCGCCAGTTGAAAGTTTTCATCAAAACAGCCACGGGGGAGGTATAAGTGACCTATATACCGACTCTCTATTCCCAGAAGACATTGCTGATATTGAGTCCTTACGTGGCAGCCTTCAAGGAAAGACAATGTCAGCATATGACCGGCAGGAGGAATCTCAAGCACGGGCTCAAGGGAGATCATTGACACACCCAAGTGCCACTCGGCAGTTGAAGGTATCCTTCCCGTTAAGTGCACTGACAAAGTCCAGCAGAAATAAAGGTATACTTTTAGTTCCAATGCTTTGATAATAAGACAATTACTGGAACACTTACACAAATTTTTTACTGTTGCTTAAAGATGCCCCCCACCCCAACTTTTGATACTGCCTGATTGTTAGTTACAATCTAACCAGGATTGGAGGTATAAACACTTCTAATGAAGGACTCAAAAATTTTACGGGGAAGTAGTAAGCGAAAGCATCGATATATTGGGGAGGTATCCTAGAATTGCCAACCTTTGATTTGAATGTTTTGGTGTTCAAACTAATTTGGCCAGAAGTTTGTGCTTCAACGTCTTCAAAATAATCGGGCAACATGAAATATGCTGATAAAATTGATTTTTTGCTTTTCTGAATTTTTCGTTGAAGTTTCGAACTTAGATGCAACCATTCAATTTAGATAGCCAAGTTTTATATTAGAATCGTGTAATAGGTTTTGCAACCAATAAGAGATTGGGTACTATAAATTCTATGTATGCTTTTTGAAATTCATCTGATTATTGAATCAAAGTTTTGAAAGGCAATTTTGAAGCTGGAATTATCTTTATGTAGGTGCATTACGCTCCAGTATTGCTCGCAGTCACAAGAAGATATCAAAAAGAAGAAATAGCATTTCAAAGAGTGGAAGACAAAGATTAAGAAAAATAATAAACAAAGCCGGCTCCAAACGGTCTGGATTGTTGAGACGAAAGAAACATAGAAAAAGTAAACGTGACTTGGTCAGTATCGTGCCCAAGCGCCATCCAAAGCCAAAAGTAGCTGATAATACCGAAGATATAGTGCTGAATGTAGATGATGTGGCAAAAAGTGTGCCTGGTACGGACATTAAAGAAGATTTAGCGAAAATAACAACTGAACCTACACAAAAAGCAGTCGCACCTGAGAGTCTTCCTGCCAGTAAAGAAGGTATTTACATACTTGTGTTTCTATGTAATTTTTTTACCGTGACAAATTTATAGTTAGATTATTGGCTCACTCGATTTACCGGTCAATCGTTAAAAATTGCTTGTTTTGATGGATCGCTGTTTTATTTCTGCATAAATAAACATCGACCTGCCTCCCTTGATTCGGAGATGAATGAGACATCCCCCGTCTTTCACATTAAGCAGCATGCGCAATAGAGATTGAGCTGTTGTGCATGCTCATTGACTAAAAAGATGGATGATGACTCATTCAATCGATTTTTCATATATTTATCTTCTTAACAATGTTACGATTGTTACATCACATATTTCCTAAGAATGCTTGAATACATCGTGGTCACTTTTCTATTTATGAATCAAAACAAGTTTATCTAGAGGATTTTATAGATTTTTCCGTCATACACCTAGCAATTTAGTCTCGTATAAAGTCATTGCTAGATTGCAAAAAGAGGCTATATACGTTTTTCGACTCGAGCAGGCGTGTTTCCAGTCATTTTAGCAAAATGCGGATAAAAATTTAAAACCAGAAATAAAACAGGCCATCTCAAATTGTTTCTTTGCGGTCAACCCACGTGTTGTTTATAGTACGAAAAAGGCCCTTCCGTCCATTCAAAAGGACTGCGTTCCTGCCACACAAAAAAGTTCCGTTGTTTATGAATTTAAGTGCCAGTGTGATTCTGGCTACGTAGGACGCACCACCCAAAGATTGGAGGATAGAATAAAACAACATGTTCCGTCTAATATTAGAAACAAAACCCATCCGCAAAGAGAACAGCCACCTCGGTCTTGCAAATCTAAAATTACAACTAAAACCTGCGATTCTGCTATCGGGCAGCATTTACTAGAAAACCCAGATTGTGCAAAAAACTAAAATGGCGACATGTTTCGGATTATTGGTAAAGCCCGATCGTCGTTCCACCTAGCAGTTTTGGAATCTATCTACATAAGCACGAAAAAACCGCTACTGTGTAGACAAAAGGAGTTCGTTTTCACCTAAGGACTCCATTGGTAACATTCTCAATAGGCAAGCGGCACTGATTGGTCAACCTATACAGTCATGTGCTCTTGTTTTCTGATTGGCCTATTTCGATCCACAACTGGATATATATATTTCCTAGCGTAGAGTTTTCGATCTATGTTCTGACGTTTTAAACTCTGAAGCGTGTCAGACGAAAAGCTTTAGTTTACTAAATGTTTGCTTTTTCATAGCCATTTAAAACCAGAAATGCTCAGCTTCATACAGAAAACCTTGAGGATTATAAAAAAATTCCTATCTGAACAGATATTCCTTTCCTGGGAATGTTTTCACCGTATTTTTAGGTAAAAAGAACCATAAAATGCTTAAATATTTTAAAAAATGTCATTCTTTTGCTTAGCCTGACCTTCTTAAATGCTACCTAAAAAAATTTACAAAACACAGCGCGAGGTTCAAGTATTTTCTTTCGAAAAAAAACAAGACATACCCTTTTATATACGAGAAGACAATTTATCCGTTCGTTAATCATATTCCCTTTCTAAGTGCGTTTTGATTGAAAGACTAACAAATCTAAACGAAAAAAGTAGAGGACTCATTTAACTATATGTCCCGGAATAACATATGCTGCAACAAACTAACCAACCTAATGTGACCAGTTACTAACGGCTTTGAAACTTATTTTTATAACGAATGATGAAAATTTCGTGACTGACTGTGGGTTGACTTACGTAGATTCAATGACTGCATCCCAGCGACAGCATGTTGATAAAGACAAAAGCCACTTAAAGAACATCGCGATGGAACTAAAAGAGATTCTTCGACAATTACATTCTACCAAAAAGGCTTCATTTGACGTTTGGGAGGGTAACAAAGCCAACCAAAAGTCAATATTGACAAACAGAATAGGCAGTGACTACGAAGTACAATACGTCACGGGAAAAGTATCTGATGACGATTTAGCTGATAAATCGTTGTCTAGTTACCAGTCTCCTGACGCCGACAGATTTCAGCAAGACGTATGGGAACCTGGATCTCGAGGCGAAGGAACTATGTTAGGAGGTAAAGCAGGGAACATAACAGTTACCTGTTTTAAAAGTGATGTTTTTCTGGACTAACCACTGACCTCCTTGAACTGCCCAACAACCATTGTGCTCTAAGTCTTCCCACGCCAAGTTTTTCGTAATCTTGAAAAGCTCCAAAGTCTCCCTTTTAACGTTTGTCAGCTGCTTCAACGTGTACTTTTCTTTTGTAATTTGTATTTTTAGTTTATTTATCATTCTATAGCACGCTGTTCTAAGATGTGAATCTTGTTTCGTCATAAACTAAATGCATAGAGGATCTGATATATTAAAGGCATCTGATTGAAATCTGAAAAGATCTAAATGAACTGAAATTCATATTTTGCTGTTAATAAAAATCAGTTTTCTGTTTTATAGAAAAATAGCTATTTTATATAATTTGATATTTAGGGTTATTGCTCATATTGAACAATGAGGCTAAGCGCGACTTCCTTATTTGTTTACATAAAAAGTTTCTCAATAGAAGTAAAAATTGAGAATGATTTCCTAATTCTTAATTTTCGCTTTGACATGATGATGCCATAATAGATTAACGAGGTATTTTTATTCCCTAGCTTTGGTGAATTCAAAAAGAGCCACATTAGCAAAGGTGGTGCAAAAGTCGCCAGGCAGATACAGAGCTAGAAGCAACATACCAAGCCATATTGACAACGCACAGCCGTATTTCAAAGACTGGAAGCTAGATGAAGAAATTAGGCTATTACAGCAGCTTTAAAGTACTTTCTTTGATACGAAAGTATATACAACTGAAAAAAAGCTCGCCATATTCTACAAAGGTTCTAAGCATGCTTTAAAGCATAAAACGAATCCTTGTGCTAATCTGTGTAACCGTTTTGGCTCAGCTTACAGGTCCAGGTCAATGGAGAATGCTAACTTATATCGATTCCAGTCTAGTCTTTTTGCATATTAAGGTATTTCCAATACCCTTACATGGAATACAAACTCCAACCTAATCACCAGACCCTTCCTTTCCAATCACACGAAAACATGGCTCCATAAATATCGAATTCGAATTTGTATCAATCATAAATGCTATTAAATATAGGCGTTAGAAATAGCTACCATTGTCGTATCAACGACTTGGAAAATTCTGCTTGACCATTAGCAAATGAATAGTCATTATTTTCCTGGGAAAAGCTATGAGTGCCTACAACCCATGAGCCTAAATGCGTTTTCATCCTGATGAATTGAAACAAAGGAATGTTGAAGTTTAGAAACTTTCTCTAATATTTAAAGTACTTTTCCTTTGACTCTGGACGAAGCTAAGCATTCTCAAAGATGGGCCTGTCATGTGACGTATCACGTGACTCTGACGATGAAGATTACAAACACTAACTCAAAATTTTTGAAACAGTTTTGTCTTGTATTAATTTCTTCGAATCCAACTTTGCTGTAAGTTCTTGCTCATTCAATTTTAAAATGTACTTTGATGTAAATAAATATCTCATGCCATGTGTTTGATCGTAAGCCAAGTTTTGATTTCTTTTAACTTAAACTTGTGTTTTTTTGATTCCGAAAGAAATATCATAAAATGAGTATTGATTAAAATTGAATTGATCCAAATTTTTGTAGCTATTGCATCAAAATCAAATATCTGTCCTACCACAGCCTTAAAAATTATAGAAACATCTTGTTTAACACGATATTGTATGGAATCATGTCATGCTGATATTTGATTTCCCTCCATGAAGCATGAACATTTTTTCTATGGCAGACTCAAAAGGAAATTTATTGACACACAAATGTATGTATGAATGTAGTGGAATGCCTTAGGAAGATATTACGTGCGTAGAAAAAGCCATGTGCTGAACAACAGAAAAGGACTGTTTGACAGTACAATTCAATGCCACAGTGTAGTTGTTTTGGCTAACGCTTTTTCAACCCCCTCGCTTTTTTTCGTACAAAATAGCGAAGTGTGTTGAGGTGGCTTTCCTAAGCCAAAATAGCCAGGGGGTTCAAAAACTCTATCGCTTTCTTTGCTTTCTTCATTTAGACAAAATTTATTTTATACTGAAAATTACCAGGTTACGCTGGTCACAATAAGACTTGGAAGACCTGTTATGTTTGTGACTTGCTTATAAACAAAGAATGGTTCCTTCAAAGCTTTGCTTGATTACACAGTTTACAATGCATTGGTTTATCGTTATCTCGTTTCTCCCTTAAATTATCTTATCTTGCCAGGGAAAATGTTGAAACTGGATTACATCCGAGCAATATGATTCAATTGATAATCGTTTTAATCACACTTGTGCCACGTTTCAGCTGCAACAATGGTAAGTTCTTCAACCAGTACAAGGAGTGGAGCCTTAATGTAGTCTTACACGTTTAAGACAAGTCTAAATCAATCTTCCTGAAAAAAACTTCTTTTAGCTTGCATTTTGTAACAATTCATTTGCCTTATTATTATATGAAAACAGTAGTTAGTGCTATTTTAAGTCTATGATGTCTAATGACCTATAAACAACTCTTTGATTGTAATATCTAATCAAATCGACATCTTAGATAATCGTTTGTTTTGAAAAGGGAATATGTTGTATATCTTAAAGTAAACATCAATATCCAAGAAGAGAGTTGATATATCTTCTAAATGATCAACAGATTAATGCTTACAAACGTTTCGTGGGGCAAAAACTTCAAGCCAACATTCTGAGATATACTGAAGCTTCCTTAGGACTCTTTTCAGCGTATAAAACGTCAGAATTTAGGTCGGATCAATGCGATCATAAATTCGATCCATGCTCTGACCTTTCATACTCTGAAAAGTGTCACAGGTTTACGGATTTATTAATTCTACCTTCTCGTTAAGTATTTTTTCCCACAAAATGTATACAAATGTCTAAAAAGTGTACGCTTAATTATGGCTGCGAAGAATCAATCGCTTAAGCCGATAACACGTGTCAATATTTCACTGAGAAATTCAAAATTTCACCAAAACAGTATCCAAAGACAAGAATACAAAGACACAAAAGAAAAAAGATAAACTAAGTATATCTTCAATCGTTTACTCCTAAAGGCATGACAAGCTTTCAACGACATGACATGTCTATATGACAAGCTTTCAACGTAATGAAAAACTTCTTCAAAGCGACATCTAAAATATCGATTATAAATTTCATTTATCAATTTAGGCATGATACAAGAGATTCTGCTTGCTGATAAAAGTTCAAAAGATGTGATGCCATCGATTCGATCACTTAAACAAAGCAGCAAGGTGCTAGCTGTCAATCAAATTGACGATTTTGATGCTGTTGCTAAGCAGAAGGAGAGTTATTTACAAAAAGTGCGTGGATACTTCAAAGCCCCAGAAACGGGGGAATACAAATTTTACAGTAGTTGTAGTGGCCCATGCCAGATCTTCATTGGACAGGAAAAGTCTCTTAGCCCAAGAAAAATCATAAACCAAAAAGAGGAATCTTTACATAACGAATTTACCAGGTCAGTAAAGCTAGATTTACTCGATGCCTTTTGAATACCAAACCAGGGCTGCATCTTTGTCTGTTGTGAGAAGATCCTCTGCAGAGCTTGAAGTAAATGGACCAAGAGGGCCCAACCTTCGGCAAATGTTTTCAGACCAACCTCTGTTTATCAGAGATCTCTTTTCCCAGAAAAGATTTAGCTGCATTTTGATTACGAGACAGGGGACAAACCATCCCTCAAACCCTCCCATGGCGTCGCCACTGAAAACAAAATGCTTAGATAGTGAGGATCATCCTAATCAAACAAAAATTATATTTTGCATGTATAGGTTTAGCAGATGACGTCAATAAGGACAATTGTCATTTTTATAAACTGGTCATCAGCTCAGGTCAAATATCTTTAAATTTTTGCAGCAATACTATTCTATTTTGCTGAATTGCATTTAGACAAAACTTTAAATTTAGTTATGGATAAAACAGATTTACAGTAAACAAATTTTCACATCTTTTGTTTGTCAAATTTCATTGAACTTTATAAAGTTTGAAGCAAAAAAATCAAACAAAAGTGTGCGGCTTGTTGAAATATAATCAATATCTTTTGAATTAATAACATTAAATTTAAAATGAATGTTAAGATTTGATTCATTTTCTCTAGCCTAGCAGAAATAGTGATTTGCTATGTTGTCACATTTCAGATATCCCGATCAGGTGTCACACACGATTTACCTTGAAAAGGACAAGTTATACTACATTGAGGGTGTTGAAAAACAACATGGAGGCCTAGGCCATTTGTCAGTTGGGGTCGTACTGCCGAGTGACGAAAAGATATTCCCAATATCAAAAAAGTATCTTAACGTTGGAGACGTTGGTATGTGATGATATCAGTTTCAATTGTCTACTTAATTAATATTTTTTGTATTGTTTCTTGCATGCCTGCTTAAAGTTGTTCGTTTTTATTTCATTATTGAACTAAATGAAATCCTTGAAAACGTTTTTGTAATACAGTGGAACTAGCATCATAAAAATGGAATCAAACTTGGTCATTAGTTTGAAACAATCAAATGCAAACCTGTGATATTTGAATAGTTTATCTTTATGTTTTTCAATAAATTGCACTGCAAAATATTTCTAGCGTTATAGAATGGTGAGTTTTAGGGCGACGATAAAACATAGCAATCTAACAAAAGCAATATATTACAGCTAAATTTGATCTCAAGCAATTTTCCTAAACGTATTTCTTAAGCAAAATAATGTCTGGAATTTATCCAAAATTCTGGTTGATTTGATAGAAAAGATAATACTCCGTAATAAACCACACAGATGCAGCCACCATTTTCCATTTAGGTAAAGGTGCTCGCCTTTTCATTGTATTGAATTTGTTTTTAGTTTACATTGTGTATTTAACATCGAAGTTTTGATTTCAATCTGTGCCCAAATAGCCCTGGGGTAGTCATAGCCTTCTGCTCCTAAAGGTATCGTCAAAGTAGTATTGTATAGTTGTATAGTAATTTTGTAAAGAAGCGTAGCTTGTAAATCTGTATTGTGACTTTTTAGTGGAGTTTAGATTATGAGATAACAACAACACATTATCATAGCTTTCAAATTAATTTATTTTTTGTTAATTTTAGGTGGTTTAAACAGAAAGGAAGAGATTTCCAGGAATAATGGACAGGACCTTGCTAAGCAAAAAGATAAAATGATAAAAAAGCTACGAGATATCAATGATTACATTAAAAAGTTAACAGATGAAGTGAAAAAGAACCCAAAACTAGCTAAAAGCGTCAGAAAGCAAGAAAATGTAATTGGGGATGGTTCCATTCTGATAAAGAACGATATTGGTGACAAAGAGAGAGGCATAGAGGTTGTTGAGAAAGTCTCAGAGCCAATGTCTGTGAAAAAAGATGAAAGTTTGTCACATGTCAATCGAAAGGAGAATGAAGAAGAGCAGAGCTGGTCAACTGGAGAAGGAAGTGCTCTAAAGATGGTTGCCGAGGAACAAGGCTTTGGTGAGAAAATGGAAAGTGGTACAACTGGAACAAATCAGGCTCAGCAGAGTCAGGAAAATCTTGACAGGAGTACCAAGAATGTTAATTTGAAAGAAAAAGGGTTACAAAAGGAGGTACATGTGCCTACAAAAGGTGTGAGTAATAATAAGAAAAAAAGGGTGAATGAAAAAGATATGCTGGTGGCGGTGGTAGAAAAGGGAGTGAAAGAACACAACGCACCAAAGATGATGCACGAGACAAGTACAAAAGTCGTTGATTTGACTGCTAATGAAGATAGTTCAGGAAATGGGATTAAGGAATTGCATCCAGTTCATGGGCACCCATCTCCTGCTGTAGAATTTGATAAAAGTCCTACAGGAAATGTTGATAGCGAACCTAAGCAGTTGGTTGTGGACAATGAAAGTCAGTTTAATGGGCTACAGCTGCCTCATGAAAATGATCACCCTGAACAAAATGGTGTTAATCAGGCACCGGCTTTCAGTGACCACGAAAATATGTTGGGACCTATTCACGGAGATTCTAAACTCATGGTAGAACATAACTATGTCAAAATGCTTAAAACTGGTAATAAGGTTGAAAGTGTGCACTCAACGACAAAATATGACATGCATCCAACAAATAATGACATGCATCAAAACATTGATGAAGATGATGATAATGACGATGATGTACTTAGATTAACGAGTTTTGCAAAAGAAGAAATTTCACGAAACGGTAACCTATCTGACAGTGCTATTAAGAAATTTATAAAGACAATCAAACGAAAGTTGATACAAAGTGGTTTCGTTAAACGAGCAAATATGACATCAGTGAATGATACAGGCGTGTCGCACACGGAAAAGAAAGATGAAAGAGAGGCGAATATTGGCGAGAAGAATACTACTACAAAGGAATATAACAAGGAGACGAGGTCAAGGGCAAGTCCAATGGAAAGTTTCAAAGTTAATCCAAACAAAGGAAAACTGTTTTTGTATGACGAAGTTGTCTCTAATCTGTTGCGACTTTTAAAGGGTAATGTGGAGAAGAATACTGAAAAGGAGTTGGAGAACCAAAAGAGCTCTATTGAGGCTGACGAATCAAAAGGTAGTGCACAACTCAGAGCAAAGTTAATAAGCACAGGTAGAGAAACTGAAGAACGAAGAAGAATGCTAAAAAGTCTCCATTTGCTCAGCGACGAGATCGACAATTTTAAAAGGATTCTACAAGAGCATGAAAATCAAAGAAGGTTGAGCGATGTTACTGAGAAAGCTAACTCATATTCACAGAAGTCAGAGGTGAATCAAATAACGCCCTCATTCGAAAAAATGACGTCACCAGGAGATATGAGTAATGATGCTGAGGGACAATCGGACTTGGAACCAAAGAAGACAAATGACGATAAACCTTTGGCTCGTCAGTCAGATGGTAATGCTGTAAGTCGGACAAAAATGCCAGAAAATTATGAAAATGCAGAGAAATATGGTGAAAAAAACAACAAACAGCGATTCGGTCAGGTTGTTGAGGAACGAATAAAACAAGAAGCAATCTCAAGCTCTGATTTGAATGGAAACATGGCTGCAGATTTTAACAAAAAGCAAAGTCAAGATACTTGGGAAAATGAGGAAAATACTAAACTAAATCTTAGTTTGCCTACAGAGTTGAGCAAAGAAAGAAACGTAGAAAAAGATAGACCATTGCAATTCAGCAATAAACCAAAACAAGCAGATAGTGTTCAGAGATTCCAGCAATCCGAAAAATACATGTCAGATCAACTTAGTAAGTACATAACAAAGTCATCATCAAGCAAACCTTTATTAATTGAAGGGTATACAGGGCTAGTGAGGAAAGTAGAGAACGATAATACAACCGACATAGAAAATCCACTTTTAAAAACAAAAGATACAGCAAAAGACGATTTGCCTGATAACAAAGTTTCGTACACTGATGCACTAACCAAAACAGTAGAAAACCTCTTGACTGGTGTGAGTGTACCTGCATTGCTTGCAGATCCAATGACAGGGGCGTTACCTTATGACGATGGTCAAGGATTAATGGAAAACAAGCAAATCAATGGTAAACAAAAGAGCTTCATTAGCAGCAAAAAGGTAGCGCAGAATCGACAACCATACAATCTGGAAACCAGTGACGTCATTAGTGGTTTACGGTAAGCCAACATCTGTAAAATTAGTAAAAATTTTGAATTGCATCACACTAAAAACCTCAAACCTCATTCAGGGTGATTCTTTATTCGATAAATCCCCCTTGAATCAATGGTTGATGAATAGATAAGATTCAAGGTTTCAAAGAAAAATTGTTAGAAAAAACGTATTCGGAACAATGAAACACCAGCAAGACATTTAACATTCATTTAAGGAACGAAATTTTTCTTGTAGATTCATAGCTTTTCACGTATTTCTTGAAAACACCAAAATAACGTGAAAATGTTTGTGCGCTTATTAATTCGTCAATGATTAAATTTAAACAGCATCATGTAATTTTCAATAAAATCTTATTTTAATCATACCCAATTTTTTTTAAATATCTTTGTAGAACAGATGCCCTTTTAATATGTACTTTGAAGGTAGAAATTATCGTTTCCTAAAAATCGTGAAATAGCGTTTAGCTAAATTTTTAGGCTTTTAATAATCTTTGTGATTTTTAGAAATGGCGCTTCTGAAACTAACAGAAAAATGTTTGGAACAAATAACCAAAATAGAGAGACAGGTCTGCAAAATGTCACTGGATCAAAGAAAACATTGATCTCAAAGAGCTTCATGCAAAGAAAAAAGAGAAGGCACAACCGAAGATTGCAACAAAAGAAACGAAAACTTAGAGGATCCTTTTTTCATAACACTGACAAACGAGGGGTCTACATGGGGACTTATAAGAGAAGCAATAATAATATATAGCATAAAAACAAGTCCAAATACAATTTTTCATGAAAAGCAAGGAGTGCTGCAAATCCTTTTAACCTATCTTTTTAACAATTTGTTTTTTGCTAAAAATGTATTTTTGATTTATTTTGAGTGTTTTTTGAAATGAAAGAAGGGTTTTACTGACATTTCAGTTCATTTTTCATACAACTGTAGCGCTTACATAAGATTAACAATAAGATTAACAAATTAATAACTGACTGCAGTTTCACATTTCTCCAGAGTACCTAGCTTTAAAACTATGAATAATGTCGGTAAAATTTGTATCGAAATACTGTCTCACACACAACAGGCAATTGCCAAAAGAATATTTATATTTGAAGCATTGTATTTTTACTATGAAAATCTTTCTGCCATGAAAATATGAGTAATTGTTTTTAGAATTGATTTGTTGGCCTTTTTAGAGAAAATTCCTCAATTAAGTATTCGTCTCAATGGCCGAAACAGTACTTCAAATACAAATGATTTAAAATTTTAATCGATGCAAGTTAGAATAACGATAATTTATTTTTCTTAGAATTTTTGATAGTGTATGTGTGTTTTTCATTAAGGTTTATAAACACATTAAAGGTACCGAGTTATCTAAGTGTAATTTTTCATACAACACACGGGATCTCTTAAAGTCCATGGCCCAAAAAGCCAGTAACGAAAAGATAATTTAAAGGATATAGTGTTAAAGAGGGATCTATGGCTTGCTTTTGCTGCAGAAAACAAGTTGGGCTTTGTCATTTTTTACAATTAAAGTTCAATGATAACACAATCTCAAACTCTCCAACATCAAACTACGAGCGAGCACATCTTTTAGGGTGAGGTTTTATAAGAGAAGATGCAATGGTGAGTTATTCTGATGTGTATAAAAATAATCGAGTCTCCTTCCTCGTTTTGAATCACACTGCCTCGTTCCTACTCATAAATTTTTGCGCGAATCTTGGCGGAATTTAAACTCATCTTCTTTTCAGGCCAGGGTGTGCATATTTTGAGGCAACTTAAATGTTTTCTCTGTCTGTTGCTGAGCTTTCACCGTTGCTGTGACATAATGGAGAAAATCGTAGTTCTTTTAAATTTATATAGCTGTGCCTAGGCCATGAACAGCAAAGAAAAAGCTGTTATGGATGGATGGATGGATGGATGGGTGTGCGATTGGCAAGTGGCATGTGCCTGCTGAAAAGGTGAAATAATGCTACAGATTGGTTGTAAAGCCTTTAGGAGTTAACGATTGAAGATAAGATGCACGTTTAACAGAAATTTAGTTGACACTTTTGTTATTTAAATTACTAATGAGGAGATTTATGGACAACGATCATGACTCACGCTTTGTTAAATTTTGATAAAAGGTAAAAAAAATTCCCTTTTTTCTCACATATTAGCAGTTTTATAAGTAAAGTCATTTTCTCCTTCTCTTTTTTCACTGTTGCTTGAATTATAACATTTTGTTGTTGCCAGTAAGTAACCAAACTGATGCATGTGTTTCACACCATGATTCAGTGAACCAATTGTAAAACTAAAAAGTGTCTTGCAAAACTGTAGTTTAGTTGTCTTGGAAATAATTGCTAATATGTAGTTGTACACAAATTAGTGTTGACATAAAGACAATATTAAGACTACCTAAGTCTCAAATTACCCATAAAATAAGAAAATTGGCCTCAGAAAGAGAACCTGATTCTTATAAAAAAGAGTGCATGAGACCTTACCAGCAGCAATGTTTCACGTGGAGGTAGTTAAACGTACCTCCTCAAAATCTTCAAAAGAAAGCTGCATACTACACTTCGTAGTTTTATTTCACTGGCACTGCCAATGGCAACTCTCATTTTCTTTGTCATCTGATTCCAGACCATATTTATTTCTGCAAACACTTGAAAATTAACATAGGAGCTAGGGACACAGGTTCCCCACTTTTTTCAAATATTTTTTCCAAAGTAAAAATAAATCAATGAAAACACTTTCAAATTTCTTGATTATGTAATAATTATTTTACCTAAAATCAATGTTTCTTCTACAAATTAGTCTACTTTATACAATCAGAAAATGTTGAAAATACCTATTTGATTTTATTACAGGAAAAATTTCAATCAAGGCTCAGAAACTACATTACTTGAAATACATGGAATACATGTTAAAAAGATTATAAGAATGGAAGTGGAAAAATTGAATATAAAGAAGAGAAATTATTACCAATTAACAACAAAAAGATGGTAATGTAGAGGCTATGATCTAGGTAAGTTCATCATCTCTGATATTTGATGAAAATTCCTCTCTTCCAATCTATCAAATCTACATTAAGAAAACTTAAGATACCAAAATTGCAGATAAATAGTGACCATACTTATAATTAAAAAACTATTACTTAACAATGCTGATTAAAATAATGCATATCTGTGCAGTGCTTTCCCTGGCACACAACACAAGTTTGTGCCAGAACTACTTGAAAAGGCTTCACAGTACTTTTTCAAAGGGAATCTTATTAAATTTTAATTTACTTTTCTCAAAATTAATGGTCATAGAGCAGAATGAAGTCTATGGTTTTGAAAGCATTGGAAAATTGCAATGACTCTTCTGAGGTTAGGAGTTCTTAAGCCAAAAAGTACCGTCTTCACAGTCTTTATAATCAAATTATTATTGTCCCAATTTATTATTATTATTGCCCCATATTCAAACTTTTGATCGAATAATGTTTTAAAAAAAGTGAAATATTGCAATAACCACCAGAAACATGGGAGCAGGACACTGAAATACAAAACAAAGTAATCATTCGGTCAAAGGGTTACTGTCCTATGTGCCTTTTTTCTCTGGCAATCTAGTTGTTTGTGATAATGTTCCAAGTCAGTGTAGTTTAGATTCCAAAATCATCAAGTTTCCCCAGACTATCAAAATGTTGATGCTGCTAACTTGAAAGTCTCAATGCAGAATGCGGCTACTTGAAAAATTATACCTTCAGCTGAACTATTCTATTTAAACTCATTTCTTAGTTGCTGGTCCATTATGTGTTGCTAAGGTGCTTTTTATATGTGTTCATCTATGCTGGCATTGGTGACTGAAATGTTACTCTATGATTCTGATTTGAATACCCAAGGGCTCCTGTTGAATTTGACATGCGTATGATGCCATTCTGCTTCTAGAAAGAAAACCAATGCCTTAAATAAGAAATATTTTAGGCAACAGAATTATTTAGAAAATAAGAATGGAAAGCATTTTTTAATGATTATAGCTAAAAGCAATCTTTGGGCAACTAGGAAATTGGTAAAAGTATCAAATTTTGTTCATTTGTTACTATCTAACTTCTGAAGGTAGTTTAAGGACACCAAGAAAACATGCTTATTTAGCAGTGTCATAGTCCTCCTTCTTAATGTGATCATGCCTCATAAATCATAAAAATTCACATAATAATGCAGGGTAACTCACTTTGTTTCCACCTGTTGTTAGTGTGCTTGCTTTAACTGGTCGCACTGCTCTTGGTTTGTTTTTTGGAACAGATGTTTGTGATCTAGACTGAGCATTCAAGGTTCTTCCATCATTGCCATGGTGTTCCACTCTGCTTTTGGTGTGATTAGGATGGACAGCATTGCGTGGTGACATGCTGTAGGGTTTTGCATCTGGCCTGTTGCAATTTTAAAAAGATAAGAATTCTAGCAAGTGGCCAAAAAGTACCTAAATGTAGAATATGCCTAAGTATCCATCTGTTAATTCCATTTGAAACATGGATTCGTTATAAAACCTTTATTTCATACTATCAGTGGACGTTAAAGGTAGCAGGGCAGTACGAAAAACGGCTGTGCAATTCTACATAGACACTTGATTCGCTCTGGTCGCGCGACTTGGCGAAATCGAATCAACAAGTCAGCGAATCAGCGATAGCGACCAGTCGCCCAGTAATTCAACTGAGTTAAACTACTCAGCAAATGGTCGCGCATTCGCAGCGAATAAGGAAGTTCAATTTGCGAAGGCCCAATGTGCATTCGCTCAGTCGCGCGACCAGAGCGAATAAAGTGGAAACCCGCCTTTACGGTACACTTGGATCCACTGACACTGCCAAGTCAAAACAGCCTTAAAATGATAATTTATGCAACAATGATTAATAAACTTATCCAAACAGTCTTACTTTAACAAGACATGAAGGTTTCTGCTATTTTGGGATATCAATTCCACATTATATCTCAATTTTAAATTGAGGGTACTTTCCCCAAAAATATAGATGTCAAAGTAAATAACGTACAAATACTCATCACTTCTGTCTTCATAGTCACGTGTGGCAATGTAGTTTGGGTTTCCATAAGGGTAAGCAGAAGTTGTCCAGGCAACAGCCTATATGATAATGAATACATTAGTTGCTAATTAGACAGATATTTACAATGAAATCAGTATAGCTGTAGTGTATGTTCATAAAAATTGTACCTTTAAAGTAAGATTCAGTGATTCCAACAAGAAGTAAGAAAAAACTGCCTGACCATTCACAAATCACTTCATTCTTTAAGCTACGTTTGAAAGTTATTTTAAGAAGATAAATTGTTGCTATTTTATGGGTTTACATACGAGAGTAGTTTGCAACGCAACCGGAGAGGTTGAAGGCAATCAGCAGATACAAAGCGGCTAAGCCACGTGTCAATCAAAACTGACCAATCAAAAAGCGTTATACAACACGTTTAATAATTGACCAATAGTTGATTGACTGGTGACTAATGCTACGTAAAGGCAGTCTGCCCCTCCACGATTGGCTAATTTTAGCTTGAAAGCGTCGCATTAAAAGAGGGTCTTCCTCTGTCATTTCTAGCATCCGACATTAGTTATTGTGGGTAAACACTACAAAAAGGCCTAATCTTTATATAATCGAAATTGACTTAGATGTTTGAAATCAAAACGAAATCCACAGCAACTCGCTCAGGGAGAGTACATTATGGTGGTTCTTCTTTCTGACTGGTTAATTGTACATTAAATAAACGACGCATGAATACCGTGGTCATGAAAAGCGATTCTGAGAACAAGGAGGGACAAATTGCTTTTAAGTATCCGTCGAATGCCTTTAAAGAAAGTGGATGTTATCTCTTGTGAATCAAAAATTTTGTATTGATCATCAAGGATGCTTTGGAATGGTGAAAATTGGACAAAAGGGTTTATCTATCTATTGATTGAGTTGGAACTATTATTTGCATTAAGATGACTTAAGCTGCTTCAACGCACGTCTTTGGGTACTTTTAGGGGTAATTTGAAAGAACTTTCTAGAATTACAGTTCTCAGGAAATTCATCATTGGCGGATGATCCTTCCGTTTTGCAACCATACGATCTACATAGTCACCCTCTAAAAAGATTTGCAAAAACCAAGAAATTTTTCTATACCTGTCCACTGGGTTTGCAAAGGATTGTTGTACATTCGGGGCCACTCCTCCATTTTGCTTGTTCGCTCCAGAGGAAATCAGACGGAGGGTTGTGCTTCGCATGACTTGAAGCTGACCAAACCTAGGTTAGTAAAGATGTAAACACGACATATTACTTTATTCGAAAACAATTTTTATGCATGTTTCACCAAAAAGGTGTTAATTTTTCTATCCAAAAAAGAGTAAAATCTTTTCAACTTACAGTTACGTTAGTGGAGGCTTTAATTTTCGTTCTTCCAGGGAAACGGAAAACATTGACAGGTTTCCCTCTCACGTTTTGTTGAATAATGAAGCTGCCAATTTCTTCATCCTAGAACCAAACAATTTACATTCAGAGTTGCAGTATATTATAATAAAAAAGCGTATGAAAATACGGGTGGGGCACATGCCAGCACACCAGTAGCCAGAAAGGGTCATAGTGTGGGGTCAAACCCCTTGTCTTATACGTCGAAGCCTTTCCATATAATAAAATGGCATAAAATCAGGCTTTCATTTGGAGGGGTCCCCATGCCCCCATAATTTCGTCACTGATAAAGTTATGCAATGAGATAAAAACTTTCCATGAGAACTTGTACAGTTTTGCTGAGGAGACAACCCATCCCCCCCCCATCCAGGCTACATCCTGTCAACAAGCCTAAATCACTAGGATCATTTCATATGACTTTTTAAAATATAAAATGTTGATGGAGAGCGGGGTTTGCATAAATTTAAAAGAAATCAGTAGCTTTGAAGGGTGGAGGCCTTATTAATAACATTCGGGGTCTCAAGATAAATCGTGTTAATTTTGTAATGGAATCAATTATGCTTGTTGTTTTTGAAAAGTCGCTACTTGAAGGCTCGATTTTGTGACCTGAATTGAGTTTGAATAATTTAATAGATATTGAAAAATCTAACCTGAAAAGCAGATGAATTGAAGAGTCTGACAAACTTTCCTCCTGGATGCACTTCGAGGATTCGCACGTTACCGATATGGCTAAAAGCGAAATAGACAATCTTAAAATGCAAGCTTCTCAACCGTGGGCAGCATCAGTGCAGTGACTGATATGACAGCTAAAACTATATGACGAAGTTATTATCCAACATATTTATCCTAAGGTATCTAGACAGATCGGCAAGAATTTTTGAACTCCGCTACAATTTTTGCAATCCTGCTGCAAAAATTATATCTTGTATTTGTTCTTAAGCACATGGAAGCTTTCTGTAGTAAATATTTTTGGTCTTCGCCAGTTTGGAAACCGTTTTTCAACGTCGACAAACCATTGTGCATGGTATTTCTATCTTCTACTCTAGAAATTATACGCTTGAAAAAATTTTACTGTGTCCAATAGTGAGGGCCATAAATTGGTAAGAATCGATTCGACATTGAAAGAAGATTACGTCAAAATCATGCATAATGTTAAGCTCGTTTGGACTTATTACTTAGATAGTGGAACTCATACTTCAGCGCTGTCACAGCTTTTAAGTTGTCAGCAGGTACTTAATCATTTTGTCTTTATGGAAATAAATCAAATGTGGTTGAAGGCATCAAAACATGGTAAAAGCATTCTCTGCAAAGAAACATCTGCATTTCGCAAATGATTGTTTTTACCATGTCGTCGATGATACAACTTTTCAAAGCCAGTACGAAGTAACTTCAAATGTTCAGTTTTAAGTCCACTAATAGTATTGAAGCAGGAAAATCCCGATTCAGTGTATTTGGGTACACCCTCTCATTTATCATAATTAAACCCCTTCATTGGATCTTCATACTTGCATCTTTGATATATGTCTTCTTGTATTTTCAGAGGAAAAATTGTTCATAGAAAACACTAGCTTTTGCAATCATGTGTACATAATTAAACTGTGGAAGAATATTTAATAAATCTTACAATTTCTATATTTCAACGTGACATCCCGAAACATTCTAGATCTAATTATATTCAATCAATAATATATTAATCTATATAATCATAAAACGAAGTGTTGTTTAATCAAATTATTATCTGACTAATAAAAATCTATTTGTGAATATAAATCGATCTTTATCCTACTAATAAAAAAGCACAGTTAAAGAAAGAAAAAGGCGTTTTAGATAAAGAATGAAATAAGGACAAGAGAGTTTGACAGCAATAGGCTTGGAAAAAAGTTTTGATAAAATGATAAGATGACGATCTATGTAAAGAGTATACAAAAAGTATCCATGAAAACTTTATAAGGCTTCAAAATGAAATTTGTGGAAATTGGTTATTTTCTTGCCTGAAAGTAACCAAAAGTGGAAATCCTAGAGTGAGACTACTATATATAAACTTTAATAAAATATTTACAATCAAAACCTTAAATTAATAACAATTTATTATATATTTAGATTCAGAAAGATTTATTGATAGTGTATTTTTACTTTAATAGTCAATAATATTTCTTGCTTTATGTGTTTATGGTGCATCTGTGTCTGCTCTCCGGTGCATTTAAACAAAGCTTCTGTGATTTTCAAGCGACATCTTTCTCTTTCAACTTAACTTTTTAGCTAGTGGTTGTGTATCTTTTGTAGTATGTTCTGGTTGTAGCCGGGGGGTTTGAAAAATGCCGACTGTACTTGGCCCTTTTAAAGAAAGAGAATTGATATCAAGATAAATTTGTTAATCTGGGTTTTTTAGGTTAGTAATCTTTTGTTAGCCATCAAAGTCTTCTGCAATATTCAGGTCCCCGTTTTATGATTGCCAGTCAATATTTTACAACCGGCAATTCTACAGCCGTGAAGATTACAGAAGCTTCTTTGGTGGTTAGTATTATCGTCAACTTTCAGTATAGTCATCTATATGATAATTTAAAATATTTGGCAAATACTGATTTTGGTAATTTGGACACATTGATTTTGGCTTATTATTGATTTATAGTAATTTTTAAATTGCGTTATATAGAGAATGTTGATTTAGATAGGAAAGCTAACGATTCATAAGTCTTTGATGGATCCTGGCTCTTCTGAAATTTTAATTTTTTTACTCGACTATTTGATTGCTTTGAGTGTTAGGTATGTATGTTTTATATGATTTATCTCTTATTGTTAAACTCAGTCATCGTAATGAGGCACAAGTCGGAGTAAAATGTCACCTATTTGCAAGTGCAGATAGTGCAGAGGAATTAGAAAAATGTCTCACCTTGTGGCGGGGCTGTGGTAGTCGACATAATTTGGAACGTAAGTCCACTTTTGAGTTGGCACAGACTTGGTTGAAATTGGATCAGGGCAAGACGAGTAAAGCATGGCTACAAAAAGAAGGCATACAATATTATATGAAGTTTCCTTAAATTGATTACTACTCTTAGCTTTAATTTACAAGCATTAACTTTGGGTTTTTTAATCTTGGTGCTTAAATAAGATGGTTTAATACTCTCCTTGAAAGATATTCAAATATCGATTGATAAAGTTGAGTCTGTCCTTTGAAAAATTTTATCGATTAGATTAAATATAATTGTTTATTGACTTAACGTGATTGATACATCAATACAGAAGCTTTAAATCAATTTTGATGCACGAAATATGTTTAGTGAAAAAAGACTTCTCTTTTGGGTTTAAATTCTAGAATGTGTCTCTATGAATCTTATATGTTAGTTTTTTTGGTTTTAGGAAACATTATTCAAATACTATGCGGAATTTCTTCTTATTTCAATTTATAAAACTCGTAGCATACTTAATGCTTGCATACTCATATGAATAGAAGCTATGTGTATTTTATGATGGTTAAACGATGGCTGTAAGTTTTATAATAGAATTTAAAACATTAATTTAGGTATTAAGTTATTTACATGCTGGATTTGCTTCCATTAGGTTTCTCCTTCTGGTTGAACCAGTCAAGAGAGGTAAACTCGCATTTGATTTCACTGGGCGATCTAAAATCAAAAGTTTTAATATAAAGTCGTTGGTTCGAATAAGCTGGCAAATTTATGATTAATGCTATACTGATAAAACCTTGTAACACTAACTGTTAAGTGATTATAAAGCAGACTAGCATTATGCATTTGTTGCAAATCAGCTTAAAGTCGATGAAACAGTCAACCGATCTAACAGCCAAGCAGTTTTGATTTCCCGCTATTAAAAGCAGACTTTACGTACCTGGTACTGATTTGGGCCTCGCAGTGGTCTTTGGTCGCATTGCCGTTCTCGATTCAAGAAGTGTTGGTGGAGCAGTAGTGGCTTTAGTAATCATAGGCGAAACAGGTCGTCCAATATAGTGAGTTCTCCCTGTGGTCATTATTGGATGATTCAAGGCAGTCGCCGTCAGTCTAAGAAAAAGAGAGTCAATTAATACAAAGGTACAGCGAATGTGCCTCTAAGCGAATCGTGCTATTCATAATGAGTAGCAGCGAAAAGAGATGCCTCAGTGGTTAGGGTATCTGACTACAGTTCCAAATGTCTGTGACTCGAGCTCCTGACATGACCAGTCTTTCACTCAGAGTGAGGAAGTTGCTAGCTCTCTGTTTTTTTCCCGTATAGGAATTACAAGGTGTAGTCACAACGAGAAGAAGGACTAGGACACTACTCAATAAGCACGCCCCGCAGTTCCTTTGGTTGCTAGGTACCAATTACAATATATAATGGAGGCTCTTCCTTACCTTCTCTCCTCGGCTTCAAGTAAGGTGGCAAAAGCATCGATTTCCAGATCAAGCGGCAGGTGGGAGTTGTAGGCCATCCCGAGTTCCCTGATTTTTTCGTTCAGGTTCTCCTGCATTGTTCGCAGTTTTTCTTCCAAGTTCTTGATTGCATTGGCAGCTTGCTGTCTCTCTACCTCCATTGTTTGTATGAGAGATGAGTTTTGATACTCCGTGTTTGCACACTGCAATAAAAAGCGAAGGATTGATAAAAGCAGTGATAAGCTAGAGCTAATGTTGGGCCGATAGAAAACATTCGTAGATATTTATGGGAAGAAAATGACCAAATAGTAACTATTCCACGAGCACGCTGTTAAAACGGATCAGCATTGCCATTTCAAAAATATTGAGAAGCCCTGTCGCTTTCATTTGCTGGCTCTTTATGTATGCTAAAATATCTTAAGGGGTTTGAAAAAGGAATTTCCACTCAAATGGTCTGTCATTATAAAGTGTTGCTCATGATCACATTGAAATCTGGGATAACATGGATGAGATACATTGAAGTCTGGGATAACATGGAAATGGTACCAATATCATTACCTTTGATTCCAAGTTGATGATGCGCTGATTCAGTTGATCAATTTGTGCTTTGAGGTGAATGTTCTCTTCAACTGCACCAGCATGGGCTTTAGACTCCTTTTCCAGCTCATGTTTGATTTGTTGCAACTAATGCATGAAAACATTCCAAGTTAGATATATCCTACAATATTTTAAGTTACCATGGGTGTTATGAGAAGGGCTATATCTCTGACTAACTGGTATTTCCCTTCAGTCAGGGCTTGAGACAATAATGCATTTGACTTGACAGGAGAAATAATTAGTTTTTGAGAGCTCTAGCAACTTTGAAAGGCCTTTTAGGCTTTCAAAATTCAATAAGCTTGGTACACTTCCTTCAGTACTAAGGAAGATTGATGTTCTCTTATAGTGTTCAGTTTAAATCCTCTGAGAGACAAAAGTAGCAAGTGAAGCATCAAAGGGTTTGGTTTCTCTTTACAAGCTATAGCAATTAAATGTTTGAAGCCTGCAGTTTCTAAAATTGATTAAAAGTTATAATTCTAAAATTGCAAAAATGGCCAAGGTGGAACTTTCTGTATTGTTTTATTTAAAGTTGAAATTACACCATCATGTGATGTAACTGAAATGTGGGAAAAAGATTAAAATTAAAAGACCAAGCTGTTGTCAAGTTTGTCTTACCCCATTTTGATATACAAGCTCAGATTCCTCTTTGAAGCGTCTGAGTTCTGCTTCACTCTGCATTCTAACTTTAGCCAGCATGTTAGCCATATTGTCATCAAGAAGGTTATGTTCATGCAGGCGATCCTCCATAACCCTGAGTGATTGGTGGGCATCTGCTAGATGACTCTTTAATTCTCTGATTTCCTGTAAAGAAAAACATAAAGCTCACATATATCACTTAAACATAACATTTTATCCAATATCCATAAAAAAGATCCATCAAAGTTAATTTGTTATGCCATAGCCCATATCCAAAAAATTTTATATATGCAAAACTTGAGGAAGGGAGATTTGTTTATCTATCAGTTTGAAAAAACTATATTTTGCATACTTTAACCACATGGCAACCAGTTGTTTGGTTTTATTTGACAACATGTAGAATTATTGCATTTTGCCTACCCTATCATGGACTTGTCGCTCAAAGTCAAGTTTCTCTCTAAGCTGATCTGCCAAACTTTGCAAATCATTACGGGCAATTGCTTCTGTATCATATGCATTTTGTGTTTCTGTGAGTGCCGTATGGAGGCTGTCTCTATCCTTCTGAGTATCAAGATGGGCATTTTGATGCTGTGAGATTGTGATTCTTGCATCTTGCAAATGGGTTTCTTTCTCAGCAATTACACGCTGGGCATCAGCCAATGTGTTTTCAAGCTTCTTTCTCAAATTGATCTCATCTGCAAGCCTTGGGAGAGAAAGAAAATTTGTTAAATTTGAAAACAATTTAATAAATGCTCAAAACATTGACAGGGCTGCAAGAGAATTTTTGAAGTACAAACTCAAATTGTTTGATCTTCCAAAAACTTTCTAAAAAGTGGTGTTTTGCTGTTTTGAAATGTTATTATGTCTTCTGAATCAAACTTTTCCAATAAAAAACTATATATTACATAAAGGCATCATTAAAAATGATTCCTAATTATCCTTTTCATTGAGAAGCTTTAAAAATTTACTGGTGAAAATTTATTCATTCTCAACAAACCTTAGAACATGGTCTTATTTACCTGTTTTTCCAGCCTAACTAGGTAAACTTGTATAGCAGGGAGTAAAAATGTATTGGGAATCACCAAATTTGTTTAAAAAGAATGGGTGGTTTAGAGTTAATTGAAAATTTTAAGATTATGTGGTAGAGGCACTGCCTTTGGTCACCAGCAGCTCTAATAGACACCTGTCAGGGTTCTGATATCTGTTTTGTCTCATGCACTCCATAAATCAGATTCTCATTAATTATTCAATATTAGACTGAAGAAGATTTCCACAGAGACAATCAGCCTATTAAAAGAACATCAAGACCGATGTTTCTTAAATAGTTAATGATTTGTTCACAGGAGTGGTTTTACATCATACTTAACAACACTTGTTGCTAGACCTAACAAATGTTTCATGATCAAGGATTCAATCATTCTACACATGAAAATTCCGTTACACTATTCTTACAATTTTGAACGAACATTTTAAGATAAAAAGCTTTAGGTTAGGATAGTTGAGAATATATCTATTCAATATAATTTCAATTTAAACCTTAAGAAAATTTATTGAACCAGCCAACAGATGTCATTTAAAGCAATTTATTATATTCTAAAGTTAATGACACCAGAGAGACAATCAAGCATACGGGTGTTAAGTGGTAACGCCTCGACAAACATCCTACTTTCAAATTAGATTGTATACAGATTTACTGTTAATATGATGCTGTGCACTCTAAGTAAGTGTTATAGAAACAGCTGTGAAAAATGAGAGATTAATAACTTACTTGTCTTGGTATTCAGAAGCCAATGCTGCATTTTTAGACGAGCTGAGATGAAACTGGTTCTTTTCATTTGAGACATCGTCCAGTTTCAGTCGGAGGTTTTCAAGTTCTCTTTCGTAAAGTTGCTTCAAGTTGTAGATTTCTTCTTCGAGTGCCTTTGTCGTGTTGTAGACTGCAGTTGATTCTAATCTTTCACTCTGTTCTCGCATCTGCCTGACTTTCGATACATATGATTGAAAGCGATCATTTAGAGTCATCAAGTAGTCTCTCTCGTGCTTTCTTGAAGTGAGGAGTGGCGTTGCCGTAGACATCGCTGCTGTGTTTCGTAGATAAGACTTTACTGGTATACACCCTTGCTGTTATAAAGTCCTTGACTTTTCAGTAGTCTTGCTCTGTTAGCTTTGTTTGCTGGCAAGAAATATTTGTACTAAATCCCCGAGAGTCACTCTTCTTTATAAACCCTCTTTTGTTTGTGATGACTCTTATTGTTACCATGCTTTGCAATGGCTTCCTTACAAAACCATAGTAACCAAATGGTAACCATATTGTCCTCTGTCCCATGCAACCTCATTTCTGAGCTGCAGTACATGATAGACCGCGAATTGAATACGGTCGTCAGGTAAACAATAGACACCTGACACCTTCCATGAAATATGTTTCTAAGGAAAAATATACATTAAGACCATATCTTGCTTTTATGCTTGATTTTTCAGAAAATAAAAAAGGGAGACACGTTTACGACTATAGTTACATTTAACAAAATGTAACCATGGGCAAATGCTTAAGCCTGTAATTCTTTCCGAAATGTAGCATTCACACAACATGCAGTATGATTAAATATAGCTTAAGGAGTACTTTAACCTTCAAAGTTTAGCCCTTCACATTTTCACCATATGATTTTCAGTTGATCGATTTGTATTACTGTTTGCAGCCTTTTAACAGGAGTAAGCAACTCTAGTATAGATTATTTTCCCATTCTCGATCGTTGCTAACTGTTTCCTTTGTCGTTCCACCGTCTAAGCAAATTTTTTGGTTGTATATTTTCGATGAAAGACATTCTATCCTTTATACTTAAAAAAATTATAACCCGTTTTGCTAAAACAATGTAATACATTTAATTCAATCAGTACCTGACGCTATAACTTTCCTGAAAATTTCCAGCTTCCCTATTCTACTTCCGAACAAAATTGTCATTAGCGGGCATTTTTGTTACTGTAAATATTATATATTGTATATTGTGTAGCGGATATTGTAAATGTCAAATATAAGTACTAAAATTGATATAAAGTTTGGATTTGAATTCAAAACTTTTGTTTCAATAGTACCACCACTTTCAGTCAATGTGTATGCGTTGCTAAGGAACACAGTGTTGATTTTATGATCGCCCTTTAGACGAGAAAAGTCATTCGTGCCATAATTTCTCATAATCGTGTCAGAACTACTAAATCCGTCGTCTTAGATCATCGTCAGCAGTAAATGAAATATGCCTTATATTGTAGAGGAATGTACAGAGATTCAATTATTTTGCAAAGATTCAGTGTAAACCCCGACATGACTTTCTTACGAGTTAATAATTGATGAAGCATAATTCATCGCAACTCTGTTTCAACTTTGGAGTTAGTCGATTATTTATCATAATTCAAGTTACGAAATGGAAAAAGTCAAGAAACATACTGTTTTGTGAAGAATATTTGAAGGGAAGAATAACGCATTCGTTTTGAATTCGAAAAAGTAATCTCTAGCAGGCAGTTCCAGAAGTAGGAATTTACAGAGCATTACTTTAACAAAATGGACCTTAAATACTGCGATTATCGTGAAGAAATGACTGTCCTTGCAGTTGAAAGCTAATAGGTATTCGTAGTGTTGTAGACGATGAAGGTATTACGTCAAAATTAATATTTTTTCTGAACAAAGTAATTTCTTCAACGATAAGGCTTATTAGTACATTTTTCTCTTTGCTGTTATCAATAAAACATTGTGAGAGAATGTCGACCTACTTTGTGAAGTCATTCTATTTTAGCTACACTTTTTGCAGATACGATAGTCGATAAAATTTCATGTAGATAATCGTTATGAATAAGTTACCGTTTGAAGAAATCATAAAATGGTTTAGTTGCCATGGAGACTAGAAACTGTTTCATCTTGGCAACAACACATATACAGATGTTTCTAAAGTATACAGAGGATTGAGCAAAAGGATGACATATTTTAGTTCCTGGTTTTTCTTCTTCCAACCTTTTCTTGCTTTTGGAAATTGTTGCATTGCATTTGATGCTCAGATATTATGCTAGAATAATCTTAATTCCTAGTAAAATTGCAAGAAGACGCTCTGTGGTTACTGAATTGATGGAAAAGTAGTTTTAGCAATGCAAGGATCAAACATAAAAATATCAAATATGCGTAGATCTTTTTGCTTGGAAAGTTTTGACACGATTTTGTTGCCTCAAACTGAACATTGATTTGTTTTAACTACGATTTTTACGCTTAAAGCAATCGCCATGGTCGGTTCTGATTATAACACCAAGAGTAAAGCAGACAGCAACTTGGTTCGCAAGCAAAAACGTGTCAGTTCTTTCTATTCGACATCAAACACTTCATAACAGATCTGCTTTATTAACTTCTTATATCTACGCGTTACCATTTGCAAATAATTTTATTATACGTTGGAATATTTCATGATATTCTGTTCGATGTTTGTGCGCTGACATAACGCTGCTAAAATGCATGTATTTTAAATGCATGTGATATGTCTTTGTCTACATTTGCAAATAATTCTCTTATACTTTGGAATAACTGCATGATGTTCTGTTTGATGTACGTGTGCTGACATGATGATGATCTATTTGATGTTTAAATGCAAGTATTTCAAGTCAGTGAAAGTTTCTGTTTTGTTGTATCTTCATATTTTTACAGCAAGATAAGGCAAATGAATGAAGAAAGCTTCAGTTGAAGTCTTTATTTCTTTCTGAATATTTTTTGTAAAATGAAAAGTACTAACTTTGTTTTTACTCACCATGACAACGCAACTGTAATTAAACGAGTGAAATTTGCTTCAAAATCAGAAGTAATTTCCATGACAACAACCATACACAAGCTCGATGTGGATGTAGAAAATGACATCTTAGACCTTGTTATTTATTTTGTACAGTAAGGTAGCTTATACCTCATTTTGCTCTCAAGCCCTGGCAAAACGACTGAACATTTCACTAAACATTTCACTCAACTTTTGTTTAGTGAAGTTGAGCGAAGTTTAGCGAGGGTGGCAAAACGTGACTAAACTTTTCACTAAACTTCATTCAACTTTTTTGAACTGCGAGCTGTCTATAACGCTGTTGGGTTGTAGGGGAACTTGCATAGGAATTTGCTTTTGCTTTATTTTGTTCCATGCACAAGCAGTGGGTAAGAATAAGAATCGGATGAAGCGAGGGGGAAAGAAAAGACTTTTTAACACATTGACAACAAAGTTGAATGTTGAAGAAGACACAGTGGCTTACAACGTGATATACAGATATCTTATAAAGGCTTTTTGGGTCACATAGAAACAGGCAAACCAACGAAAACAGACGAAAATTTTTGGATTTCCACAGTTAGAGCGCCTGTTTGATCACAACGAATGTTTAATTGGTGGCAAAACGGCTAAAAATTTGCTGAACAACACTAAACAACGCTAAACATTTTTTTACCAGGATTAAACTTTGCTCAACAACACTCAGCACGACTAAACAACACTAAACAGGATGGCAAAACGACTAAACTTTTCACTAAACTTTTGCCAATTAAAAGTTGAGTGAAATGTTTAGTGAAATGTTTAGTCGTTTTGCCAGGGCTTTATATGTTTTATGAAACATAGGAGTTTTTTGCAGTTTTACTCACCTCTTTATACAATTGCCTTATAATCGCACTAAGCGTGAAACGTAGAGTAGCAGCAAATAAATGTCCTATAAATAAAAGCGTGTTTAGCTCTGCCTATGATAGGCCGGTAAACAGTAATTTTCCTCTCTGCATGCAAGGCAACTTTTTCTAAAGAGCTCCTTTTCCGAATTTCAGCGAACCAACTTTGCGTAAAATCATTTTTGATAAAGATTCGCTACAGCTCATAACAGTCATATTATGTTGAACAATTTTGTTTTGATTTATTATAAGAACTGTTTTCTAAATATGTTGTATGCTCCATTTCACTTCAATTACTCGTGTTTAAATCATACATAAAGCACGTAAATGAAATTGTTTTATCTTAATCCAAAGTAGTTTTTTCTTAGTTTACAAACCTTTTTGGCCTAACGAGAAAACGATTATTTGGTGTTTATGTTGTTTGTGGCAACATTTAAGCGCATCGTTATGCCTTTGTTTATTCCGGTAGCTCATCTAAGTTATGCATGAATACACATGTGACATTAATATTTAATTTCTCTTTTACTCCTATTTTCGTTTGCAATGTATAATCGATTTGAAGCTGGTAATGAAGAGTTAAAACCCGTTCGAGAAAAGATCTGTTATTTAGATTCAATAAAATTATAGATTCGTGACTGTTGACTTCTGTACCTTATTATAACCTTATTATGTCTGTTGTTATTGATAAATTCGAACGGCTAGAAGCTGAACTGATTAGTTAAAGATCCTATTGCAACAATAACTAGAATCATTGCAGGTGCTTGAATTGATACATAACTTCCTGCTGTTTAGTACACTCAGTCCCTCGTTACGTAAGCTTTGCTTGCTTGTAAAATATTTGGCAAAACTAAAGCTATTTCTTTGAATGGTTTGTTATATATAAGAGACAGAAATAGATAAAGACAAAATTTTATAGAAATGTGAAAATATACTTGTATAAAACCTTCAAGTTTAATTTTCGCAATTTTGCTCTTCATTTCCTTGTCATAGAAAATCCTGATGGTGTCGAGAATATAACTTAATATAATTTTTTTCTTTGAGTGTTTTGATCTTAAGCCAGAAAATAAAGACTTATAAAGAAATAAGCCAGAAATAATTAATTAGACCCAACATTGTTAAAGTTTAACTTTTCTCATTTTTGATTTCATTTCCTTGTCAATCACAGAACTTCGTGCCGTTTCATTCATTGCTTGCCAATGCTTAGTAAAATGATCCGAGCTGTTTATTTCCATTGTCTGGTGTTGACTTAGGTAGAACAGGTATGTGCGCGTATGGTAGTTGAAAACAAAAAAACATCGTCTAGTAGTTGAAGGTATTGTATACTAACAAACGTTCAATCAATTGTGCCATATTATAAAATAAATTTCTACGAGAACCAATGTTATTTGCAAGTCACAAATAACGTCAAGTTGTGGACTGTATTTAGGATTGTCTATATAAAGTTATATAAACAGGATAGTTAAGATTTTGAATTTGCATTCAATGGGTGATGCCATATTCTGAAAATAAAGCCAAGCATTAATCGTCAGAGACTTTGAAAATTAAGATATTCAGATTATGGCAAAAAAATACAAGGAAATTTCTGACCAGGTGTCGATCCAAAATTACCAGCATTGTTTACTTAGTCGCATTATTGGCTTTATGTTTGTTTTCACAAAATGCATTTTGTTTTAGCATCGAGGCTTGTATGGAAGGGCTAAAGCTTGTGGGAATATGTGGATTATCCT